ACCCAGTCAATATACACATGATACAATTAGTGTTGGTGAATGGGGAAGAAACACAAAATGGGTCAGTGAATAAGGAAGAGAATGATAACAATGGGTGAAATATGGATCGAATGCTGACAGAGAAGTGTAAAATGGCGACAATGATGATGATTATAAAAGAAGTATGCCAAAGTGAAGTGAACTTGACAAAATAACCAACAAGGAATTATTAAGACCAAAGTAGAGAAAGTGGTTTCACAAAACCTTTTTGAATACAAATTTCAGGTTTTTTCATGCATAGCTAATGCTTCGGCTGAGCATATATGGTGGAAACTTAGACTTTGGGAGTAGTTCAATTTAACTTTATAAATTACCTTAAAGGGTGAAAATGATGTGTTGAATGACCTAACTCTACTAGGTAAGCCAAACACGGTTATGTTCAGCATCACGTTTTCGGAGGGCCTGCTTACAACGTCCAATGTAGTCAGCTCTACAGGAGCATGTGAACTAGTAGATGCATATAGATGTGGATATTAGTGGTAGCCTATCCTTCACGCATTGTGGAATCAGATGATAGGTGGAGAAAATCTCAGTCTAGTCTACATCGATGTGTATCTACAAATTCATATGCTCCTGTGAAGCTGACTATATTGGACGTTGTAAGCGGGCCTTCCGAAAACGTGTTGCTGAACATTACCCAATTCTGCTTACCAAAGGTGAGCGAACAAAACTTCATCCATATGTGAACACCTAGTAGAGTTAGGTCGCCTCGGGATTCATCCTTTAAAGTAATTTACAAAGTTAATTGAAATACTCCAATGGCCTACGTTTCCACCGCTTATGCATAGCTGAAGCATTAGCTATACATGAAAGAAAACCGAAACTTCACATTCAAAAACGTTTTATGAAACCACTTTCTCTACTTTGGTCTTAATAATTCCTTGTTGGTTATTTTGTCAAGTTCCACTTTGGTGTACTTCTCTTTTATCATTATCACAATTTTCCACTTTACTGACAGTATTTGACGACCCATATTTCATTATTTACTATCAATTCGTTCCTTATTTATTGACCCATTTTCCATTTCTTCCACATGAACGAATCCCCTATTCACCAACATCAATTGTATCATGTGTATATTGAGTGAGCAACTCTTTTCATCAGTGCAATTGTCATTTTACTGATTATGAGTATGACTGTACAGCTTGATAATGGAGTTGTTGAAATGAAATGTTTTTTTCCTCATTGATACATGTCTTGTTCTTATTCATGGAGAAATGGGTATATTCCGTCACCTTTTCGAAAGCTTGTCCTTGATACCCTGTTAAGCATGACCTTGAAGGCTCAAGTAATAAATCATCCCTTTTTAAGTATGTACAACTATAGAGTTTTAGTGCGCATATCAGTATGTATACTTGATTGTGAACTATTGAGTCACATGTTTGAAGTTCATTCTACTTCTGAGATTTTGACAAGTACGGGGTATTGATTGCATTCATACAAATGATTTGGATCATAACTCAATGCATCTGTTGTAACTAACTGACAGTTTTTTTAAATCATAAAGTTATTGTGAATAATAGATAATTGACTGTCACATTATTGTAGAATTAGGTTGGAAAAGTATTACAAACTTCTATGATTTTGTATATTCTATCTAGGTAATCCGGCATCGACAGACAACTTAAGGCAGTGAACTTTTTAAGAGCATATGCTAGCTCTGGTTATGCGTGATTCGACCAAATAAGTACACATCAAAATCAACCCTTGTGCAATGACCCCTACCTGTTGTATGAAGGCTAATGGTACTACCTGGCTGTCCAGCTGTCGGTAGGTGGGAGCGGGTTTGAACTTGTGACCTATTGTTTGGGAATCAAGTACCTATTCCAGTGGGTCACAGAGACTTTGTTAAACCATCAGTACCAGATTACGGCAAAGATACGAAAGCTCTACGAAGAACATTTTCAATTTTAAGCGTTTATTTGAATTTATACATTAAACAAGCAGCTATATTAGCATCTCCTAGCACATCTTGTAAGCGTTTGACTGTGTAACTGTTACATGTTCCGAGCGGATATAATACGCATGCTGAACTGACAGCAAGAGCCATCGACTGCAACCCGGAACAAATAGAGAAGAAGACCGAAGTTAGATGGGAGAGTTTGTTCCTCCGAACGTGAGTATGTATACACATGAGATTTGACCTTGTCCGCAAATTGAGAAATTAATGTAGTAAAAGTTAACATTAACCAATCAGCTAATTACCTTGAAACGGGGCAGAGATTGAACTACTAGTCATGCTGTAAAAAAGGGCATGAAAACGACAAATGAAAAGATGCTCAGATCAGTGACATTGTTTTATGAGCAACTGGGGCCATCCAAAAGTAGCAGACGAAAAGATGTAAAAGTTTCTCTCTCTAAAATAGAGTTATTTGTTGGAATCTGTTCCATGTTTCATTTCCACTCAGACCTAAGAAGTATGTCCAAAGTTTTCGTAAATATCATGAAAAATTCTTTGTCTATTAGTCATAATTGATCTGACAGCCACTGGTTACCATGCATTGCACTGAAAAGTACAAATATTGAAGGATTAAATTCTGGAATATTCAATGTGCATGTTTAAATCCGATTTTAGGTACATGGCGTTCAGTGCTAATCTGTAAGTAAAAGCAAGTATTTATTTCTAAATGTTTAATATGATGTCTTCAGGGACACTAAGGTTCAACCTCATTCACACGACCAGTCTACAAAGCCAACATATTAAGTGAATTGCAATTAACTGTCAGCTGGTGATAACTAGATTCAGTGTACGCTATTTTTGTTGAGCTGTCAGCATTAATTTAGGCAGACTTTCGATCACACATTCGAACAATACATCACTTACTGATAGTTGAGGAGTCACGTGGTGTCATTAGCTCTCACACAATAGGACTCAATGGTTCAAAATCAACTGCCTAAACCAATGAACCACAAAAGAAGCGTACATAATAAGGTGGGATAGAGCGATAGTATTAAAAATTAACGTGGTGGAGGGAGAGATTGATCACCGAATCTTTGTTAATCGAATCCATACTGAATATATCCAATTATAGGAAGGATTTTGCACCTGTCCCAGATATATGGAAATTCTACTAACTTTGTAATCACAAAGAAGGAGAGAGAATTAAGACTATATAAAGTCTGTCTCAAAGTTGTTGTGGAATTACCTGATATGACTATGGAGAATAAATTGTGTTCTAGACGTTATCCAGTAAATGATACTATTCCTTCACTGTGTAACATTTCTGATAAACAAACTGAAAGGGAATTACTTCTCAGTTGTCTTATTTCCATGTTCTTAATTATTGCTTATCCAACTCCTATAGTGAATTCCTTTATTTCAAAATATTATATATACCTGGATGACGTTATCATTGGCGTGATATATGCTAAGTGGAACAGTTGGGCAATATAATAAACTTTCAAGGTCAACTGATAGCGTACTCTGACCTTGTATTATAAGTATTTAAGGGCATTAAGAACAAAACTGGTTGACAGAACCAATAGTAATCAAACAGAAATATTTTGTTTTTCCGGTTAAATTTAGTTTACTAATTTGCTTTAAAAAGAAGTATTTCAGTGAAACCACTTGTTTTCAGTTATATTACTCTCTAAAGCTGTGCAATACACATTAAAATACAAAATTAGTGAACACATTCTATGGTAAAATGTGTCAGCATGATTTACCGACCAGTAATTCCTCGTATGTTATGTTCAAGAAAATTGCATATGAATAAAAGTTATGCAAAAAGGAACAAAAAAGTTCTTATTCACTGATACTTGTAATTTCCCGTTTTTATTCTGCAGTGAATCGATTAACGTCTGTGAACCTAGGAGATAGCAATTTGGCGTTTAATATGATAAGTGCTTGGTTTGAATCTCAGTGGGGACAGTTTCACTCATTGGGGTACACGTACATCCAGCTGACGAGTCCAACGTAGAACGAAACACGCATCCTAGTTTTGTCTGCTATCCACCACCAAGCGAGTTACAAATATTTGACACTGTGAATAAGAAAGTGTGAGTTGAAATCACGAAATAGGAAACATGAAATGTTAATGTGGATAGGAATGAAAAAATAGTAACTAAGTTAAAACCATTGTATAGAATGTATTTTTACTTGTGTAATCCCGGCGTAGTATATTAGAACAAATAACAAAATAAACAAATATTTTTGTATTATTCCTCAACGTTTCGATCTTGCTAGGAAGATCCTTTTCAAGAGTATGAATCTGACACTAAGTTTTCAGGTTAATATTCAAGTTTTGGTACACAAAGTGATGACCTTCACAATCATCCAATTACATAGTGTTATGGAGCAAAGATCAATGTAATACAGATGAGTGAATAAGCAACTCGGTCAGAGAGGTTTTTGCGTTGTGCGAGTAAGGTGGAACAAAATACTGGGATACCAGGATACCTTCAAACTAAGTTAAAACCGTTTACACAATAACATCATCATGAAAATTAAAATGAGTTGCTTATTTGGCATAAGATCTGGAAGGTCTAAAGATTAGAAAGTAAATAAAGATGATGAATAGAAAACTTACTTCTACATATACAATACGGGATTCAAACTTCTCACTGCCAGAGCTTTAGCAGTCCGAAACAAACGTTTCACCAGACCTTTCTAAAAAATATTATAGGATTATATGAACTACTGGAACCGAGTATTTAGTGTCAGCTAAATGCTGTAATGTAGAGTTAGTGATTGATGAAAATTGACCTTTACTGAGCCGTGATGAAACCTGCTGGCATCGACGCTAGACAATTGGACTCTGCTAACGGCCTATGTGAAACCGATTGTTTAAAGTAAGCTTGAAAGCTTATCGTTCTACACAAACTACATTATTTATTCATATATCTATATATTGATGACTATTTATAATGTGATCATGGAGTGTCCTTGAAAATATCGATTATTTTGTAGTTCATGATAAGCTCATGTATATTCTAATTAATACAGTAAGTTAGGTTAAAGAATGATTGCTGAAAACATGTCGAAACCGCATGCACAAGATCATCGTTTATCTGATGGTCGAAGACTTTCACTGTCAATTAATATGCGACAAAATAAAGCACTGAATCAGCCTTTTACTCGAACAAATGAATTAGAACAGTACTTTCGGATTATACCGTGTATTTATCCTCAACAGGTCAGTTGAAAATTATTATTATTATTGGTTGGAATTCATCCTGCACTGACTGACATCAGTTGGAGGAACATTAGAAACCTGGGAGCACTGGACAGCTTCTGTTTCGTTTTAGTATGTAACTCCTCTGCAGTGCGCACACAGGACCACGTCCCATCAGGGATCGAACGCAGGACCTTCAGGTTCCTTGTCCAGCAGGTTGCCATTGAGCCACAGTCTGAATCCAATGGTCCATATCTCCAACTTCCGTCAGTTCATGACACTGGTGACTAGCTTCGAGAGATGATTCTTGAAGTCCCAATGAGAAGTCGTGAATGATAGGGTAAATCTGGTGGCCATGAGGACAAATACTTAACGATGACATTGGGCGATGGTCGCACTATGTGCGCTCTGCTAAAGAGTCCGATACTAGGGAGAAACAGCAGCTGTTCAGTGCTTCCAGGTTTCCAATGTTCCTCCAACTGATGTCAGTCTGTCACGAATTCCAACCTAAAATCAATTACTAAGTCTCCACAAACCTGCATTTAGAATTATTATTATCACTTGACTATCTGAGATAGCCGTAGTTTGGCAGACTAGTATTTATACTGCGTGATGAATGAAGGTGAGCACCGGACTGGCAACCCAATGGTCGCTGGTTCGAATCCGGCCGTGGTTCAGATTTTCATCTCACCTTTCATCATCAATCAGTATTATTATTGTTATTAGTGTCGATAAGTCCACCTTTAGTTAACTATAGACAAATATTATAGACTAAGCATAAGTTCTTGTTTTTGTTACGCATTAAGCAACGTTTTACTCTGAAGTTGCTATTCGATAGTTACATAGCATCAAGCCGAAATATTTTAGTGACAGGATCTATGTGTTGACTATTTACTTTACATTGACCCAAGACTTCTCAATCAACAGAGTCAATTATGAAATATGTAAGGTGTTGGACGTCCAAAAGTGTCTCCACGTTCTTAAATGTGATAGAAGATGAAGATATTATCTATGTACCATCCTCTAGACTTGAGATTTTTCTGGTTTTCATGAGTTTTTTTATCACTTTGCATTGACTAACTAAAACTCCAACATTACTTCAGAGACAAAAGAATGTTTTAGCTTATGAAACAAAATAAATAAATAACAGACAATTTGATGACAAACTGAAAACAGTCACTTATTATATCCTTATCTGACTTTAATCTATACACTAAATTCCCGTGTTAGTTGGTTGGAGGCAATTGGCAGGAAGCCCTGAACCTAGATTTCATGCTTTTTGGCACTCGTCAGCAAGGCGTATCTGCAACCTCGACGGAACTGATATCCCGCCTGAGATTCGAACCCGCGTCACCCAGTGTTGTAGTTAGCAACTTCATCACTGAGCTATTCGGGCCGCGATCCACCTCCTGTAGGACTGGCTTACATGTATTGATTGGTTACGGGAGTGCAACCAGTTTCATGTTGTCTAGTCCTGAGTGCAGACCGAATTCTATCGATCATATTTGCAATGTGGCCACCAAGCTAGAAGGCTCAATATCACGGTGTATATTAGTAGATGTTAGTTGGTAAAGTCGCTGACTGCAACACTGGGTGACACAGGTTCGAATCTCGGGTGGGATTTCAGTTCCGTCGAGGTTTCAGATACGCCTTGCTGACCAGTGCCAAAAAGCACGAAACCTTGATCCAGGGCTTCTTGCCGATTGCCTCCAACCAACATCTACTAATGTGCACCGCGATGCTGAGCTTCCTAGCTTGGTTACCACATTACAAATATGATCGATAGAATACGGTCTGCACTCAGAACTAGACAACATGAAATTGATTTGTACTTTCGTGACCAATCAATACACTGAATTCCCGTCCCATAAACTGATGACCCGACTATATCAGTTTCGGGAAAGAGAAGAATCAAATCGAGATTGTATTGGCGGGATTACTAAGTTCAAAATATTCAGGTATGACAATCGATTGTTCCAAGAATATTAAACAAGAGTTATATTATAAGGTCAGTCTTAACTATATCAATATGTAGACACAAAATGAAATTTTTGTAACAAACTAAGCAAAAATCTTAATTTTTGTTGACATGAAAACAATATAGCTTCATGTGAGAAATCATCTGAATCAGTATACGGTTTATTGTCTAGTATATCGAAGCACGTGATGTCGAAAAAAAATTGTATTTGATTGTAATTCTACAGACTGTCGTGTATGGTTGGATTTTTGTAGTTATTGTCAAAATTCTGAGTTTAAATGATGAATGTTGCCCTATCCAAATATATTGTGAGATCTCGGAGAGCAACTCCTTTAGAACTTGGCCATTTGAAAGATGTCTATAGTGAATTTATGTCCGTCAGGGATACCCAGTTTTACCGTTCCGATTTAACTTCGTCATAGATATACTAATAGCCATATCCTTAAGTTCCTCTGACTTTACTGGGATTGACCTACTCTCTGGACGTCATCTGGTTAACTCGGAGTATGCAGACGATATTGTCCAGATAGGCGAAGACGCTGACAAAATACCGGGTCTCCTAAATGCGCTTAACAGAGATCTGAGTATGCTTGGCATGCGTCTCGCTGGCACTTTTGGAAATATGTAAGATAATGCTGCAAGACTGGTCTGCTGAATGTACTCCCAGTTTAATGACTGGAAGTGAAAAGGTGGAATATGTGAACCACTTCACTTATTAGGGGTGTTGCTGAAGAAATATTGACTCAGATACAAAAGCCCCGTTTGGCATTTGTTAACTTGGATCAGCTGTGACACCGACTGGTGAACTGTCCGACTATCTATCAGAATAAGAGTATACTGTTGTGCAGTCCGTTCTGTCGTGTTATACGGCTGCGAAACACAGTGGCTGAAAGTAGGAGACATGAAGCGGTAAGAGGTGCTTGGTCATAGGCGTCTTCATACAGTTTTTTTATGGAATCACCGGGTGAGTAATGTTGACGTGAGGCGAAGGGTACTAGGCAAGACAGATAAATCGATCGATTGGGTTGTGAACCTTGGTCGACTGACATGGTTTGGATATGTGTTGTCCATGTCGAGTGGCCGCGTATCTCGGCGTGCCATGTTAGCGGATGTTGCATTAGGTAAGAAGAGTGTTCGGGGTGGCCAGACTGAGACGCCGCATCAGTCGATGAAGTCCCTGACTATTAGTCTGTCGTGTTTTAGGAGATGTAGACTGTCTGGTTAGGGCCCCTAAGAAGATAGGGATCAGTGGTTGACAGCCTTTGGTGACATGTCTGAAAACAGTCACAATGGCATCTTGACACCTTCTAAAGGTTGAATATTCACACTAACCTTTATCCTCAGATTGTTTCTCCCCACACACAAACCTATCTGCTATGATATCAGTCATGTTCTATCCTCGTGTCCTTTGTATAATACTGTGAAGTGTGGCAACTTGAACCGATACAGTTGTATGCCAGGGTCTGCGTTGATTCTGTCTATCTGTGTCCGTCTATGTGTAATATAATGAAATCTCTACACTAACAAACTTTGAAACTAATACTGTTACGCATTTTGGACAAAACAGATGCCTCTAACTTCAGCACTGAGGGAGGCAGATTCATATCACCCAGGGAACATCGGTTTCCTCACGGTTGCAGGTGTTTCACTGATGAATAGCAATGAGTACGAAACTTATGTCTGGCACAGATTCATTTTGATTGACTCCTACTATCTAACACAAAAGTCACCATTATCTATTCATCCGATTGGAAGTTTGGAAAACATTTAATGTATGATATTTTGGCCTGCAGAACCTCCTTCCATGTTCAACGACCAAATCTATTCAGGCGGAGAAAAGTTAGACCTCCATTTCTTTCGGCATAACGACTTATTTTGATACTACTGACCCACAATAATATTGTTTTTCTTATTCAAAGTGGGGATATAAATCCTACGGAATAGATGGAATCCCATCTTTTAAGTTCACTGGAGGTGATGAAAAGGCTTAACGTAGTAATGACTGTGAAGTTATATGACTTCGAATTGTGTGTAAATTAAGCGAGGGTTAGTAATTTGATAGGGAGGATTTTAATTACTCGGAGACAACCGACAGGAGCCTCTCGAATTAGGTATAATGCTTATTGGCACTTGTGATCAAGGTGTATCTACAGTCACAAAGAAAGTGATATCTCCTCTGATACTCGAACGAATAAGCTACTCGGGCAGCCATCGACCTGTAGAACTGAAAAAAAATACTGATTGATTACTAGGGAGCGACTAATTTTATATCGCCTAGTCCAAGTTATCTTGTTTTATTTGTCTCTTGGGTTCCTAGTGGAATATACGGCTTCAGTAGCACGTCACCACTCCACTCTCTTCTCCACAGTCTTCTCAACATGGCTCCACCACTACACACAACCTTTCATTTCTTCATCACACACTCTCCTCCACGTCACCCTCACATCAGACACCCACATCATCGTTTCCCATTCGGCTTCCACTCGACGGCCTGACCTGGTGTGGCACATGATGTCTCTAAATGGTCTTCTCAGTGAATGTCCAATCCAATCCATCTCCTTTTCCTTCTTCTGCATATTTGTTGGGCAATGCGTTGTTGGTTCGTTGGTTCGTTGCCAGCCAGCCAGCCAGCCAGCCAGCCAGCCAGCCAGCCAGCCAGCCAGCCAGCCAGCCAGCCAGCCAGCCAGCCAGCCAGCCAGCCAGCCAGCCAGCCAGCCAGCCAGCCAGCCAGCCAGCCAGCCAGCCAGCCAGCCAGCCAGCCAGCCAGCCAGCCAGCCAGCCAGCCAAGCCAGCCAGCCAGCCAGCCAGCCAGCCAGCCAGCCAGCCAGCCAGCCAGCCAGCCAGCCAGCCACAGTTCCTTGTTGCTTATTCTTATTATGATGGTCATCTGATCTTCAGTGTCAGTGTCAGTGTCAGTATCGAGTGAGCGTAGACAGCAGCTGTTGATGTGATGTATGTCTACAGTTTGTTGAGAATGTCTTTCGTAAAGTATCAAATCTGTCAACCATCACATGGAAGCACTGACTTAGCTAAATGACATAAGTGTTGAGAATCTGGATGTTGTCCACAATTTATGCTGAGTGCAGTGTAGTGCGGTGCAGTCCAGTAGATCTCCACACTGATTATTTCAGATTGATGTAGACCTGTCAGGCTGTCTTTTCGATCGTGGCTTTGATGTCCTCATGTGTGCCTGTGCCACCTGTAGTTGGAACGATGCTGCCTTGTCTAGGTAGGTGAAGGAGGCGACTTTCTTTGTGTTTCTCCTACTGATGGTTATTGGTGCTTGTTGTTGTTGTTATTGTTGTTGGTTGGGTATCTTTATCACCTCTGTCTTCTCTACGTTCACTTGTAGTAAAGGTACAGTAATTTGTGGTTAGAAAGTATCTAAGTTAATGTTGTCTATTTCTGAGGGCTGATCGAGTCTACAATGTGATCAGTAAGCTAGGAGACTCACTATCACATGTGGCTGAATGTAGTTAGTAGCTAGAATGTGTCAGCAGTAGCATATCGACTTACAGTAGACAAATAATTTTAGCCGAAGGGTGTCGAGACTCATTCACTCTATAAAGCACGGTGTCTTTTGGAAAGTATTTGATTATTGTGTTAGACAACGTCATAAGTGCGACTTTACTTGATTTTGCGAAGCTTTTGTCACCGAAAGCTAAAGCTTAAAGAAAACTTCTATAAGGGCACGATTACTTGTTTAAATAAATTAAAGTTTGATAGTTTCGATATAATTTAACGAAAGAATGCAAGGTAAAACGGTATTTTACTGTAACCAATCGTAGAAAATCAACTGTGTAAAATAAAAATTAACCTTACCAAACTCATATTACTTTTAAACGCTTATAAGTAGACATTTTATCGTTCAATAAGAGATATCCTAAAGGTTATCAAAAAAACAACTTGAAATGATAAATTAGGATTCTTTATTTTATGAAGAAACTACCTATGCAACAGTAATCAAGAAATATAATCTGACAGAAGGAAGAGAATTTGAACTAATGAACTCTAACCCCGGTGGTTTAATTGCCAGATAAGGGTTTCAGAAACTGAAGGTCCTGGAGAGATCATGGGTACGGACTGCTGAAGAGTCCCGTGAGAGGACGAAACAGCTACCCAGTGCTCCCAGATCTTCAATGGTTCTCCAGTTGATGTCGTTCTATGATGAATACCAAATTGAAACCAATAAGTCCACACATACTTTCAGGTTGAAGCTACATGATCGGTTACCTCATTATAACATTTAGAGTCACTCTTGCAATCATACAGTCACTACCATTAATAATAAAAAACATTGGAAGATATTATTTAATTCAGTTATCAGTTCACCTTTTCTTTCATTCTCTACTGCTACTTTTCGGGTAAACGGATGTGATTTAAAAGAGGTTTACTGTTTCACTTGTCTGAGGTCGACCCCATTAACGGTATATCTAGAGTGAATGACAGTAATGGTTTCCAAAGGAAGCTGTATTAGCATATGGTAGATGTTCTTAAATCTTAAAGTAATCTGTGACTAGAATTCTGGAGACCTACTTCATCACCAGCTGAACTTTGTCCCATTCTTGATTACTTCGAGAAACGACACATTAGTAAATTTATTTAGGTATAGGTAATGATGCTTCGCTTTGATGAGGAGTAACTGTAACTTTCCTAAGATAGTCGAATGTCTTGTCATCTGATGCGGGTATTTTGAACTGCTGACCAAATGCCTAGCCAACCCGAAACACCTAGTCGTTTTTCATTGGATAATCAGCTTACCAGACGATTCTGATGGCTATGGTATTTCAGGTCACCGTCCAAACGCCTAATAGATGGTGACCATTTAAGCCGTATCCTACAACTCAGGTATTTATGAGACAGCGAGATTAGTTGCAGGACGGTGGACCTTCTAGTGGTTCCTGCTGTTAAATGGATGTCAACCTGTGAATCGACTGACCATTTTCCCATCTAATACTGGCCTTTCTAAGTAAAGAAACTCACTTTAGCATGGGCAATGGTGGAGGTAATCAGAAGGACATAGACCATCTGGGGCACCTAATCTGTAAACTCAGGGGATTTCTTCCAGTAATATGCTGCTTCGTATGTGATGGGTGACAGGATGATGTGCGTTTCACAGTGCATGCCAGGTGTGAAGAAGGTTGTAGGCTAAATGCATGCTGTCTCCACCTAGTGACATCCTATTAAGACTGAGTTGGCCGGTGTCCTTGCCTATATCTCTAGTGTGGGTTACAGGTCAGTGATGAGGTCCATTCTGGTAACGGCACTAGCGGTTGCCATTGAACTCTCAAGGCAATGAAGCTCGTCTCATATCTCTTGGCTAGAGAATAGGTCTTCGGAAGCAGTCGCTGACTGACTCTTGAACCTTTTCAATTATCTACTAATCACGCAAGCACTAAAAGCTGAACTGCATGAATGCCACTGTTTCACCTCTGTGGGCGCGGGGCTGGTATCAGTGATGAGTGTGAGATGCGGATGGCCTTAGCGGGGAAACCCAGGTTGTGCACTCATTACCGTCCCTGTGAAGGAGGTAAGGGCAGATACCCGATACTTCAGGACCTTTTCAGCTAGCATGAGTGCATAGCTTGTTGTTTACACGATCTTCATACATATGCGCTTAACTGGAAGCCAGTCCATTGGCTCTTGAGGTTTAGCTGACCTGGAAATAAATAATGTTTGTAAGACCACAATGATGTTTAATTTCACTTTGACTAGAATATACAAATCTGAGAAGAAACAGAATCAAAGCATGTGTTGATAAGTTTTAAAGTTCGAGGTGAAAATGACACAAAAAAATGTGACGTATTTGACTTGTCTCACGCTCATTCTTCTTGAAAACAGAAATGTGTGTTCAGAACATGCTGTGATTTATTGCTGTAGGCACTAGACTTCCAGCCGACGGGGTGAATGGTTCAAACTTGGCCCCACCAACTGAGGTGTGAGCAGTCGAATAGTATCCTTAGTCATCAACGAGTTGGTTGCTGACGAAGTCTCAGCTCAGATACAGAATGCCCGTTTGGCGTTTGCCAACTTCCGACATCTATGGAGCCGACTGGAGAGATATCTGACTATCTATTAAAGAGCAAGTATACTGCGCTGCAGTCTGTTCTGACGTACTGTACAGCTGTGAGATGTGGCCGATGAAAGTAGAAGACATGAAGCGGCAACTTGAGCTGATGCACTTGTGTGCAAGGTTCTAGGTTGATTTTGTCTGCTTGTGTGTCTCCATTAACCACCTCAAAATAAGTGTGGTTTATCGCCAACTATAAAACGTGTGCAAGATTAATGAAAAAAAATTCCCATTTCTATGCTTTATTCATACCTAAATGCTCGTTCAAAACTGAAACTTTGAGAAATCCAGATACCCTGCATAAATTACTAGCAGAAGTGTACAGCACTAAATGAACATTACCACTAAATGTAAGAAACAGGTATCAAGTATTCAGATGACCTGTGTGTGACAAATGATCACGGCTGATCAGTTTCAGTGGGCCTCAATGAGTAACATCAACATTCATGTACAATGATCTCTGAGATGCGTTATTTAATCGTGGAGCTTTCATCCTCCCTCTAGACAACATCATCATCAATAACTTCAATATGAAGTGAGCTGTCAATATCTCTCCATAAGGGATTCAGTAGTAGCCTACACTGATGAACTGCTTTGTCATTGCTTCTCTCCTCTGACTGCTGCCTCATTGACTACACACATTTTCCTATTGGCCCTTCCTCTGTCTGACCACTCACCTTTCTCTCATTTTTCACTTTTATCACTGATTGATAGCTTGGCTCTATGTCTATACATCTATTGACTGCTGACTGACAAACTGACTGACTGACTGACTGACTGACTGAACTGAATACCAAACCTATAGGAATTCTCTGATATTATTATTTGTGTTTCCCCTCTCCGTTCAACCTCAGCACTACACTGTTAAAAGTGAATTCATATCCATAGTTGTTAGTTATCCACATGCACTGAAATCAGTGATGAAATGTCATGTGTGACGTTTATTGCCCAATCAGTGTTCATGTAGACGAAGGTGAAGACGGCGACCACTTTCTCCAATGTAGTGTTGACCACAGTTATAACAGTTGATTTTGTAGATGATATTCAGTTTGTCTTCTCTGATTGTTGTTGCATCCCTCGGTCTGCATAGTAGTGTTTGGGGGTGGGGGGGATTTGTTGGTTCGTGAACTTCACCAATTCCAAGTGTTCTGAGTAATCTCGTTGTGATTTCTGATATATTCTTTGTGTATGGTAGGATGATGTGTTTATTGATTTGTGTCGATGACTTTGTAGTTGATGATGTAGGGGATAGGCATTTTGTGGTGAGATTTTGTGGATAGATGTTCTTCTTGAGGATGTGTATCAAGTAATTTTCGTTGTTTCTCTATGAGGTTGTTGTATTGCAGTGCAGTGTGTTCTCACTCTTCTGAATGGAGTGTGAACACAACTAATTTTGTGCGTTGATGGGTTGTTGTTGTTGTTGCTGTTGCCACTGTAGTTGAGGATTTGATGAATGTGTGTTGATTTCTTGTATACTTGTGTTTCCAACATTCCGGTATTTGTCCTGTTGATTGAAACATTGATGAATGATAGTTGGTTGTTTCACTCCTTCTCCATTGTGAATTCGATGTCATTGAAAACGTTGTTGATCAAACTGTGAGTGTTTTCTATACCATACTTTCTGGTGATGATAAATTTAAATTTTTGTTTTAACCACAAGTAGAATGATGGCTTCTAGTGTCTGCATGACTGCTTCTGCAATTGAAGGTGATGTGGTGATGTGATGTCATCTAGTAAGATGATGAAAGCTGCACAATTGAACAACCAAGCTCAGAGTACACAATTTAACCAAGACCATCCACCTGAACTACAAATATTCTCCATCACTTATATGTACATACTTATATTGTAGATTTTTTGTTTTGCTGCGTGCTTGCTTAAATGGTATCGCTTGGAAAGTTTGCGACAAGAAGCCTTACTTACAGTTGGGACTAAATCACGAAATATTGATCGTCATCAAACAGCAACTGAACCAACATCAGAAGACGAACTTCAAGGCGATGAAAATTTTGAAAAAGAGGAAGAAACTGACAAAGAACCACAAGAATCAGTTACTCTGAAACTATTAGAGCAGAATATACAAACCAGTGTTAATAGGACTAACATTCTGGTTGACACTTCTTCATTACAAAAGGTTGAGAGAAAATCTCAGGTGAGCAACGAAGGTGAAGTCATAAAGGAGGGTGACAAAGAGGATGACCAACCAGAAGGAGATGGAGAGGAAGAAGCAAAGGAAATAAATGAGGTGAGAAGAGACCGTCCTTCCTAATTTTGTACAATTATCTCATTACATGTGTTTTCATTTCAGGAATCTGAGTACTTTCGATAACTTTAAAGGGGAGCACTGACTAGAACTAAAATTAGAGAACAGTTGAGAAGTGTTGAGAAGAAATCACATTATCTTGACAAAGAAATACGGAAACCTTATTGTTGTTATGATACTTTTAATTTCCTGTTGCTACACAGGGTCGAATTCTTCGACCTCCGTTGGTAGATGATCTCATTTGCGGATGCTTTGAAACTTCTGAATGACTAGCAGAGTAATACAAGATGCGCATTTCGTCCTATTTGGGACTCATCGGCTTGGTATCTCTTCACCTCAGTGAGTGATATTGTTCCCAGTTCCCCGTCGATTCAACCGCCGGGGCGTTGTCCATTAAGCACATTTCATGCAAATCGTTTTTGCACTCTACAGTCAATATGAGTTAGTCTTCAAATTCTATTGCCTTTTCATTTGTCTTCTGTATTTAATTCCGTTTTTTTATTGCCTGTTTCAGACCCTTCACCAACTATAAGATAACTTTAATTACTTCCTTCACAAATTACATTTCATATGCTACTCATATCTGTTCAAACAAGTAGCATAAACAACCTTAACAATTAATTGAGGTCATACAGTTTAGAAGTCTGGCTTCGATAGATATGGTCTGATCTGCATTTGCGCATGTGTAAAACTTTGGATGTGGATGGTTTTCATAGCTCTATATTCTCTAAGATATTTCATTCACATGCCTTGTCAGGAACTATCTTGACTTTGGAATTCAAAAATAAGTCAGTTGTAACCGTTTCCCTACACAGGGAGGTCAGCCAGTGAAATGTAGTATAACAAAAGAAGATTATAAGTATCACTCAGTAATAACTGATACTCGTTTTACAAGAGTTGGGTCATGTTCCTCAGTGTCGTGGTGTATAACGCTATGGGATCTGAAGTGATGGGCGCCGGATTTGAGTCCAAGTGAGAGCAACACCACTCATTGGGGTACAGTTTCATCCAACTGACGAATCCTAATTGGGAAGAAATGAGCGTCCTGGATTCCACCACTAACCACTAAGTAAACAATTTCCCCACAGTGCTTCATGTAATTATATGTTGTAGAGATTGTTATGATTGAAAAGGGATATAATGGGATCTCTCTGTTGACCACTTCGGTTGGTAGATGCCTGATTTAGTCTTTAATTATTTTTTGCGTCTCAAAAGAAAACACTAGTCTATGTCGTTGTGTTTTTGAATAGGTGATTACTGGAGTGCTAGAACCACAGGTTGTTAGCAACTATCTATTTGAGGGATGATACATTAAACAATTTGACAGCTAGTAAAGGTTAACGACAGAACTGAAAATCAAGTAACACATAATGGAAAAGATTTCTAGCTCAAGATGAAGATGATGGTGGTTTTGTGTTGTCTAAGCTTTAAAATATCAAAGCTGAGCCAATCATTCAACATAGTTGGAACTTTGTTGCCCAGTGGTTTTTTTATAGTCTCATCTCTATGCTGATTGACTGACCGCTTGAATATTAAATTTTGAGGAATATCCTTCGCATCTAATTCTTCTGAATCGAAATTGGTTACAAATTCATTGATTTCCAGGAAAAAACATATTAACCCCAATGCAGACTAGCCTGTCGAAGTCCACGGGACAAGAGGAATCAGCGATTAGAGACTCAAGGTGATATGGCTCAGAACAGATGTTGGTGGCGCAGATGTATACAAATATTATCCTTATCTTAACCTCCATACTTAATCTCATCATCTCATTCCTCCCTCCTTCTCTTTTACTACTTTCTACTTCCTTTGACCTATTTTTCTTTCATTCTTCATCTTCCATTTTATTGCCTTGCTATTTGATGTGCTGATATGAGGTGTGACAACTTCAACTGTTAGGCAGCCGTACCTGGTCCCATGTTGACCTGATGAAGTTTTTCCACTGAGGTGATCATAGAGGAGAATGCAAAGCTGGGATTTCTGAATCTTAGAGTAATATGAATCATATACACATTCAGTCATGTATTGTACATCAGGAACCATTCACGCAATATCTCATAGATGAAGAAGTTTATCTATATTAGGGCTCTCTGTATACTGTCTTCACCCAGTTAGAAGACTCAGGGTAGCCAGATGAAGACGCAGCAACAGTCGATGAAGTCCCTGACTGTTGGTTTGAGTCGCATGGAGAAATGTAGACTGCCTGGTTTTGGTCTCTGAGAAGAAAGGAATCAATAAAATGAATACTGTCAGTGGCGTGGCTGAAAATCGGTTACGATGGCGCAGATGTATTCACTCCTTGATGTCTTCCAAGTCTTGGATATTTGCACTAAATATTATCCTCAAATTACTTATTCTCTCACACAGAATTGTCTACTCTCATATCACTCTTGTTCTATCCACCTGTTCTTTGGGTACTACCATGGAGTATAGCAACTTGAACTGATGCAATTGTGCGTGAGGTTTTACCTTAATTTAGTCTTTCTGTCTGTCAATCAGAAAGAATTGGAATAGCGGATTTCTTAGTCTGATGATGACATTAGAAAGTTGATCAAAACACTTTGATCTGCACTCACAACTAGATGTAACGCTGGTTACTTTGAAATAACCAATAAATTTAAGGTATCAACAAGTTTAAGCATGTTCTGAACCCAGTTTGGAAGACTGTTTAGTTTGAAATCTACATGTCTATCCTTAGCGTAGTATAGATGCCTTCTGATAGTTGGCTTCTTGCTAAACCAAGCGCTTAGTGTGTAAAACTGAATTCACTTGAACATTAAATTGTTTTTAGGATGAAATGGAAATTTGGTAGCTACTGAAGTGGTTAGTAATAAGATTTCGGTGTTATGACTAGAAAGATTTCAAGTCTCAAAGAGAATATGAGTCTTCTCAGAGTTGCAGACTTGCAATATTTCAGTATGCCTAACAGGTGAGGTATTTGTATTATTATCATTTGTCTCTTGGGTTCCTAGTGGAATATACGGCTTCAGTAGCACGTCACCACTCCACTCTCTTCTCCACAGTCTTTTCAACATGGCTCCACCACTACACACAACCTTTCATTTCTTCATCACACACTCTCCTCCACGTCACCCTCACATCAGACACCCACATCATCATTTCCCATTCGCCTTCCACTCGACAGCCTGACCTGGTGTGGCACATGATGTCTCTAAATGGTCTTCTCAGTGAATGTCCAATCCAATCCAATCCAATCCATCTCCTTTTCCTTCTTCTGCATATTTGTTGGGCAATGCGTTGTCGCTTCGTTGGTTTGTTGCCAGCCAGCCAGCCAGCCAGCCAGCCAGCCAGCCAGCCAGCCAGCCAGCCAGCCAGCCAGCCAGCCAGCCAGCCAGCCACACTTCCTTCTTGCTTATCCTTATTATGATGGCCATCTCATCTTCAGTGTCAGTGTCAGTGTCAGTATCGAGTGAGCGTAGACAGCAGCTGTTGATGTGATGTATGTCTGCAGTTTGTTGAGAATGTCTTTCGTAAAGTGTCAAATCTGTCAACCATCACATGGAAGCACTGACTTAGCTAAATGACATAAGTGTTGAGAATCTGGATGTTGTCCACAATTTATGCTGAGTGCAGTGTAGTGCGGTGCAGTCCAGTAGATCTCCACACTGATTATTTCAGATTGATGTAGACCAGTCAGGCTGTCTTTTCGATCGTGGCTTTGATGTCCTCATGTGTGCCTGTGCCACCTGTAGTTGGAACGATGCCGCCTTGTCTAGGTAGGTGAAGGAGGCGACTTTCTTTAGGTTTCTCCTATTGATGGTGATTCGTGCTTGTTGTTGTTGTTATTGTTGTTGGTTGGGTATCTTCATCACCTCTGTCTTCTCTACGTTCACTTGTAGTAAAGGTACAGTAATTTGTGGTTAGAAAGTATCTAAGTTATTGTTGTCTATTTCTGAGGGCTGATCGAGTCTACAATGTGGTCAGTAAGCTAGGAGACTCACTATCACATGTGGCTGAAGTTAGTTAGCAGTTAGAATATTACAGCAGTAGCATATCAGTCTGTAGCCCTAGGTAAAGGGAGTCCATATCTCTAAGGGGGTATTGTTTTCCTAGTGACTGTAAATATGCTTCACTGCCGATTTCTAACGAGTACTAAGCTGGTATGACCGGTAATGGAGCCTAACAACCTACGGAAATTACGGACCTAACGTGCAACGAATCTTATCTAGACGCTAATCACAACGTTAAGCACTACCACAACAATGCTACCGACACATGAAGAAAATTAGAGAAGACGAACGGTTGACAGAGAGCGTTTACTGTCTCGACAACAACCGGAATAATTGAGAGCGATGCTGAATGCATGCATTTCTACACTACCTTGAAAACACTAAATCCACTGATAGATTAAAAGAGTTAACAGCCAATATGAGTTCAGCCTTCAGAAGCAGTGAAAAAGAGAAGCTAACGACGGTGTGAAAACAGCAGTGATAAAGTTAAGTTTGTAGGTAAACACCAGGTGAAAGTTAAGCGAATTAGGGATATATAGCATGAGAATAGTTTGAGTAGGGCTTATAGACTATTCTCTACAGCTAACTAACCTCAACCGAAGACTTTCTACAAAGATATTCCAAACACCTAACACTGAACAAACCTGATCAACTGATTGATTAATCGATCAAAATTTAATTAGTTAGCAGTACATTAATAGCCATCTGATAACTAATTCACTCTCATAGTCTTCAAGTGACTTGAGGATTCATAATTTCGAGTTTTTTTGCGTAACTGGTAGTTTCATGCGTAAGAAGAAATGCTACTGTGTAATGCGAATATCCAGAGAAAGTAAGACTATAAAAATAAGATATACAGTCGAAGCAAATCGTGATTTTTTAATGGATGCTATGATCTTCATATTCACTTTGCTGATAAATCCCAACAATTATATAATCTGAAGAAATACCATGGTAATCAATTTCAGAACATAAATGGATAAGTTTGTTAAGACGATTTTGACTGCTAATATACTTTAGCATTTCATAACTGTAAGAGAGTGAGGAAGTTTGTAACCCTGCTCGGAACAGGTCCTGTAAAGGAAAACACTAGATGATAAACTCATAACAGTATATCAGCATTTGAACAAGGAGTTCATAAACCCATACAGTTTGACCAATTTGGTCGAATTTAATGAATAATAGAACACTATAAAATATGAATAAAATTGTTTTCATTGACTGATCACTGGAAACTAACCAATTTTATGTTGTCCTAAATGCTGATAAAGTTCTATTGGTCACTTTGCAGTGTAATCATTAGAATACGTAATCAGGAGAAACTTGTGAATCTACGTATATTTTCCAGAAACGTATACTTGAGGGGATATCAGTTCCTTTAATGTTGCAATACGCCTTCATGACGAATGTAGAGAAGCACTATACCTACATTGACGGCTGCTTGCTAGTTTTCTTCAACCACTTAGCGTAAAAATTATTTTCAAGTGAAAATGGAACTGATTAACGAAAGTAAGCCTGAATACACGTTGCGTATTTGTTCACCCTTATTGGTAAGATGTATATACATCTTCAATCAAGGAAATATTTGCTTTCTTTGAACTTTATAAGTCACTTCAACAAACTCTGAGAACAGAACCTTTACAAGTGAGTCATTTATTCCACTACTGACAACTTGCAACATGCATAACTAAATTATGCACTATACCTATAGAATTATATTAAACACTAATAATTGTTTACACCTTCTATTTTTAGAGTTCAATAACAAATGCTCCACCCTACGGTTTAGTGAATAAAGCACCTCTGATAAAAATTAATTACACTACTGCTCAAGAGAAAAGGAGCACTATTAAACTGGTCTTTGACACGATGAAGTGTAAGTACTTATTCGATTGCCTTCTCGAAGCCCTTAACAACAGTCGAGTGATCTTTTTAATTGGTTGTGGCTAGCACAGGCATCCAGGAGGCACGTTTCGTCCTATTTGGGACTCATCAGCTTGATGTACTTGCACCCCAGTGACTGATTATCCTTATGGGATTACAGGACTGCCTGCGTAGTGTGTTTGCGTAAGCGTGTGTACATGAATTATCAGTGGTGCAAGCATTGTCATCATTGTTTTACCCTTCCTGCTATAAAATGCCGAGTTTTTGTCTATGTGACTGGAGTAGAAAAGTGTGAACTATCAAATCTCGAAGCAGTGACAAAACTTGAACATCCGAAATTTAATACCTCATGGGATCATGAAAGTGCACTGCTGAGAAGTCTTGGACCGGAAAGAAATAGTTTTCTATGCATTGATTTGTAGTAATTTTCTAGCTGTATTCACTTTGCAGTGAAAACTGCCTACAAACCTTTCCAAGTTTGTACTGCTTAAAATGTGATTCTCATCAACCAACTCAAGAAAAAGACTGAATTCTGGAACTATTTTCACTGTATTAGTTATGAATAGGTGTTTTCACTTAAAGGTGGTTCAAGCTCGTATTTTCTCTTATATTCATGACTGTACCTTTCAGAAATTCAGTCAGGGATATGAGTTAGCTAACAAATGAAATATGCAACGAATATGCTTCATATTCCTTAAATATATAAGATATAAGACCAAGAAGGGAAACAGATGTAGGTTCACACCACTCACTGTGTAGTGCAGGGAACCTACATTCAAAATCAAGGTGAAAGCCTTCGCAGAAGTTAGTGATAGACAACAGTTCAAGTTCATCACTCAAAGCAGAAACTAACTGAGGGACAAAACTGCAAAGGACATCTTCACGTCAGCCAGTCATCAAGACAAAATAGGAGACATTCACCAACATCCCTGAAAGAACCTGTGTGGAAGAACACTGGAACTCTTTGAAAGCTATATGGAAAGAAACCAGCACAACCGTGCTAGGAAGGAAGAAGAAGAAAGACAAGGAATGGATCTCGAAGGACACATGGAAGCTGATAGAGAAGGGAGAGGAAGATGGTGATGTTAAAGCAGAAGATGAACCAGTACATGCAGTGTAGGGATAGACAACGAAAAGAGAAACTGAATTCAGCCTATAAAATACTACACTGGACAAAGAAGTGAAGAAGAGTGCACGGAAAGACGGAATACACTTCTACGACACATTGGCAAGTGAAGCAGAACAGGCTGCATGTAGGAGAGACAGAGACAAGACAACACTATATCAAATAACGAGGTGACTATTTGGAAGGAAAGAGATCAAGTCAGACGAAAATAATGAAAGGTAGTGAAGGAAACTTAGTTACCAAAGACGTAAACAAAAGAAGTGATGGGCTGACCACTTCAGAAAACACTTGAATCGACCGCTACCTGCAACTCGTCCGCAAATAGCACCAGCAACGGCAGAACTACCAGTGAACACAGGCCCTCCGACAAAAGCAAAAGTGAAGTCCTGAACGCCATAAAGTTGCTGTAATCTGGAAAACCAGCAGGATCAGATGGAATTTCGTCAGAGGCACTGAAAACAGACGCAGAGACAACAGCGGACATGCTGACACCACTACTGTAGAAGGTTTGGGAGGAAGGAAGGAAAGTTACCTACTGGTTGAGTGGAAAAATAGCTACCTCATCAAACTTCTAAAGAAGGGTGACCTAAGTCTTTGCAAGAACTGGCACGGAATCACGCTGTTGTCCACCCCAAGCAAAATATTAAGCCACATCATCCTAGAGAGATTCGAAAATGCTCTCCATTCAAAATTACAACCCGAACAGGCTGGCTGGCTTCAGCAAGAACAAATAATGTGCGGACCAAATTACAACGCTACGCTACTCATCATCATAGAAAAGAGTATAGAATGGGAGTTAACTCTCTACCTCAAATTCATCGATTTTGAAAAGGCCTTCGATAGAGGTATCTACCGAGAAGTAATTTGGCAGACAGCTGCTTGAACACTATGATTTTAGTGCCAAAAACCTTTATCAACCTTATTCAACAGCTAGTTATATGATGACGCCACATGCCAAGTAATTCACAATGGAAAGGTCAGTGACGCCTTTAAGTTTGTACAGGAGTGAAATAAGGTTGCCGTTTACTATCGCCGACCATATTCCTTTTTGTGGTCCACTGAACTGGACTGGATCATGCAAGAAACTGTGAAGAGTGAGAAGATCGACGAAAAGACCCTAGAAGATTTGGATTTCGCCGACGATGATGGTTCATGTCTAATGTCTTGTCGCACAAACTGGAAGATGTACAGGCGAAAACTAACGATTCGGTAGAAGAATCGAGGCAGTGAATGAAGACTGGACTTCCTTCAGGTGAAGGTAGAGAAGATAGAGGTGATGAAAATACACAACCAACAACAATAACAACAACAACAAGCACCAATCACCATCAATAGGAGAAACCTAAAGAAAGTCGCCTCCTTCACCTACCTAGACAAGGCGGCATCGTTCCAACTACAGGTGGCACAGGCACACATGAGGACATCAAAGCCACGATCGAAAAGACAGCCTGACAGGTCTACATCAATCTGAAATAATCAGTGTGGAGATCTACTGGACTGCACCGCACTACACTGCACTCAGCATAAATTGTGGACAACATCCAGATTCTCAACACTTATGTCATTTAGCTAAGTCAGTGCTTCCATGTGATGGTTGACAGATTTGACACTTTACGAAAGACATTCTCAACAAACTGCAGACATACATCACATCAACAGCTGCTGTCTACGCTCACTCGATACTGACACTGACACTGACACTGAAGATGAGATGGCCATCATAATAAGGATAAGCAAGAAGGAAGTGTGGCTGGCTGGCTGGCTGGCTGGCTGGCTGGCTGGCTGGCTGGCTGGCTGGCTGGCTGGCTGGCTGGCTGGCTGGCTGGCTGGCTGGCTGGCTGGCTGGCTGGCTGGCTGGCTGGCTGGCTGGCTGGCTGGCTGGCTGGCTGGCTGGCTGGCTGGCTGGCTGGCAACGAACCAACGAAGCGACAACGCATTGCCCAACAAATATGCAGAAGAAGGAAAAGGAGATGGATTGGATTGGACATTCACTGAGAAGACCATTTAGTGACATCATGTGCCACACCAGGTCAGGCTGTCGAGTGGAAGGCGAATGGGAAATGATGATGTGGGTGTCTGATGTGAGGGTGACGTGGAGGAGAGTGTGTGATGAAGAAATGAAAGGTTGTGTGTAGTGGTGGAGCCATGTTGAAAAGACTGTGGAGAAGAGAGTGGAGTGGTGACGTGCTACTGAAGCCGTATAATCTACTAGGAACCCAAGAGACAAATGGTGATACTGATTTGCACGCGATATTAACGTTCATAAAACTATGAGTCTAGCCTCCGTATAGCCAATCTACAGAATCTCCAAACGAAAAGCTCAGTACGTGCACACGAACATCTATCCTGTTCATCTTCAGTTTATCATTAAATGGCACCCAGCATGGCAGTTCAACGGTCTATATTGACACACTTGATCACAGTACATCAAGGTAGACGACATCAAGATGAAAGTTAAAGCAATGGAGAAGAAAGTCCGTGAAGAAACGAAGTTATGACAAGAAACTAAAAGAGGAATGGGACAGTAGTGAAGTTCGGTACTAAGGTTGTGTTTAGATATATTCGCACAAGCGACACTTACTCTCAGCCATATCATCTACAGTCTTCAACTACTGGTGTCTGTTGTCATGCCCACCCCCAACCCTGGGATCTACATTCCGCCATTCGACTCAGACCAACGATCAAAGGCTTCAATGACTGGTGCCATATTTCAGTCTGGCTACCTCTAACCATTTTCCAACTCAAAAGTATCTTAGCTAATCTTATGCGACAGGGTAAACAGTAACTAGACACAAATGAAATGTGTCCCAGCCACCTGAGCTCATAAATGTTCACAACCTCTACACCTAAACTTTATGTCACTGAAGTAGTGGTACTATGGCACAGGCCCCAACGCCACTTAAGGGCGGTGGATTAACATCAGAAGCCGCCTCACGTCTACTATTTTGCGTGACTATGTTTCATAGCGATAGAGTCAAGATGAGCGAACTGCAGTGTACTACATCCATTCCTTAATATACTAACATATATCACGGTGGCACCATATATGACAATGGTCAAGTAAACCTTTCGTACCCGTGGAGAAATTTTGTTAGTCACTGACTTATCCAGTTCATAATAAACTACAAAGTTGTCCATGAAAATCAGCAAACGGATCATCCTACTACACATGAAGAACATATCACAGCTGATAGCAAAATTACTGAGACCATATGGAATTGGTGTGGCTCATAAACCAAAAAAGTCACTTCAGTCCATATCATATAGACTAAGCGACACATCTGATAAAGACAGAGTAAGTATCGTTTACAAAATCAGCAGTGACAATCGCAATCACCACCATATTGGATAAGGTGGTCACCATCTTCGCCTTTGTTTACATGAACACCAATTGGCTATTAAATGTCACGACATTTCATCACTCATTTGAATCCAAGTGAATAATTATGCAGATGAATTCAACTTTGAAAATGTAGAGATCTTGAACAGAGAAATGCAAGGAATATCAGAGAATTCCTAGAAGCTTGGCCTTCAGATCAGTCAGCATTCAATTCAATGTATAGATATAAACCCAGTCTGTCAACCAATAAGAAGAATGATAAACAACCGTAAGATAGAGGTCAGGCAGAGAAACGGCGAACAGTAAAACCTATGCGGTCAATGGCACAGCACTCAAAGGAAACAACCAATCATAAACCAATTCGTTAGGGCAACTACTAATCACCCACGGAGAGACACTAACAACTCACTTCATACTGAAGTTAGTGCTGATTATGTTGTCAGAGAGACGGTGAAACCTCCACGATTAAACAATTCAGCTCAGAGAAAGTAAAGCAACCAAGTTTCAAAGCCTAGAGGTACCTAAGAAATTACGGAAAACGAGGCAGTAACAGACACAAAGTACTAAACACCCTGGAAATTTTCAACAAGAATTACTGATGATCTTCAGTTCTATTCTCTTATGACATTGTTTTAATTTTTCAAATTAAAAAGTTCGATTATTCAACAGTATCATTCAGTTATACTTCTAAAAAAGTCGAAATATAGTGGATAGTGATTTGGAGAGAAGATATTACCTCAAAGATAGTTATACGCGAAAAACTGAAGTCATCTAAACAATCTGCAAAAAACAGACAAAAACAAGCAACAGAAATAAAACTATACCCGTCGCTTAAGAAGTGGCTATCATGACTCAATGGTCTAGTGGATAGTCTCCTGGTATTTGAAGCGACCGGTCCTCAGTTTGAGTCCTAGTAGGAATAACATCGCTCACCTGGGAGGAAGGTACATGCAGCTGACGAGTCCCGAATAGGAAGAAATACATGTTCTGCATTCCACTGCTAACCACACTATCCATCATGAATTTAAAAACAAGTAGTGTGTCATCATATCTTTGAGTATTTCGTCAGTGTATTCAGGAATGATATCCAACTCACCAATGACTTTGCATCTACTAATGAAAGTAAACTATTTTCTTCATCAAATTAATAAATTTAGGTATTGGCAGTGAATATGCGAAGGTTAATACATCACAATCACATTGTTGTTCGACACAGAAATCATACTGCTGTTTTACGCTAGACGGTAGTCTTCATTATAGGTTAGAGTTTATTACGTAAGAAATTTAATTTGTCTAATAAGCCAAGCCTTTTTCATCAAGAAGGTACTTTCCCTGAGACGCTTCACATACATCAATAAGTATACTGGAAAATGTCATAATTAAACTGGAACTATCATCGTTTTGAAAATTGAAATCCACTTTGTTCGAAGCTACAGTTAGAAATACTTTTGCCCTCCTCTTATCAACGTGCATTAGCCATATGTAGGATTGGGTTTGGGAAGTGAATACGTTTGCTAAATAATATGATATCTCTCTATAAGCATCTAATTTCTCTTGTCTTTCATTATCATATGAATATCGGTAAGGCGATAATCATTATTAACTTAAGGATAAGCAGATTTTAAGAAGGTAACTTATACGCGAAATTACAGCATAGTTACCAGAAATAAAAATAGTTAAGCATTAATTTAGATTGTATTTTACAATGAAGAAAGAAGAATAAATCATACTATGATATGTTTTATCATTCCCTTCACTTGTTCAAACGATGATTGTCAATGTAGCTGTCGAATTCAAAGTGCCAATGCAAGTAAATTGATCAGACTTCCAATATGATCATCCAGTTAATTGATACCATCCTAAGATAACAGTTTACTTTGACATATATTGTATTTGAATTTTGAGGGAGTTGTGGGGATTTGGAAATATTTCAAGTTGTTATTCATCATAGACTGACATCAGCTAGAGGGACAAAGAAACCTGGGAGAACTGGACAGCTGTTTCGTCTGGTATGGGACTCCTCAGCACTAAGCACTGACGACCTCATCAGAGATCGAAGCAGAAGTCTGAAATATGGACCGTTAGATTCTGACCCAGTGGCTCAATGGTAACGTGCTGGTCATGGAAACTGAAGGTCTCGAATTCGGTCCCTGGGGGGGGTCGTAGGTGCGCACTGCTGAGGAGTCCCTTGCTAGGACGAAACAACTGTCCAGTGCTCTTAGGTTTCCTTTGTTTCTCCAAATGATGTCAGTCTACGATGAATAACAACTTGAAATATATTGTATTTCCTTTCAAGCCTAGACTGAAGAACAACCTTCTGTGATAACAAGTATGTAATTTGAAACAATCAGTCCCTTCCATAATTTCGATAGTGTAAGTAGAAGATGAAGTTCATGTTAAACAATGTGTGAGATGTATTTGCACAATACATTTCGGACAATCTGACCCCACATTTACTTGTCCAGTCAATGTAAACACATTAAATCGAAGAGTGGGAGGAAAAACACAACAATTAACATAAAAGGGGATTGAAATTAAGAATGATAACAAACAGAAAGTGACAGTTGATCTTACTCTATCAAGGTAGATGTAGTGTAAAAACGAATTGCTTTTGCATACATAAAGGTGGTTTCAATTTTGCATATGGCTATGGCTTCTGCAAATCTCAGTATACATCTATGACCGACTGTTTCTATATAAAACTTTGAAAGCTGTTTGAACACTAACTTTGTGACGTGTTTCCATGATATGTTTAGCTATTTTATGAAGAGGGCCGTCTTCCATCAGCGTTTATCACAGTTTCACATACCATTTGTTTTTGAGGCCATTTAGGTATATGTTCTCCAACTCTCAACTGTATGACTCGACTACTCCTCGATTATTCCTCCTGGGGTGTGCAACCATATACACTTATGTAAATTGGTAAACACAATGGGATGTGACGCAATCATCGATGCAGTGTTTAGGTTTTTGGTGAAGTATGTTTTGTTTTTTCCACAATGATAAGATTAGCAGCGTAAAATGTTTTCTTAATGATTGATGTTAGCCTACGTCTCAAAATGATACTTTTCCTCTCCCTTCTGTATGGTGGAGTGATATAGACCCTTTTCTTAGGAACCGTGTATGGAGTTGGCTTCGGTGATACTTGACCTGTTCAGCAGTTTATAAACATCGAGTATCCGTTTTCCATAAGTGCTTTGGTCAGTAACTTGATATCTTCATCCACCTTATAAGATGTATTGATACGATAGATCCTATTAAACAAGCATGTTATCAGACCTCACTTGTATTGGATTGGACAAAACTATGAAAATTCAGGTATTGTCCTGTCCATGTAGGCTTTCTGTAAACTGACATTCTTATTAAACCATCTTCTCGTCTACTACATCTACAAGTGTTATTCTCTTTCTCACAAGTCAGGCTGATATAAGTCTATACGGTGGTAAGTCTTTTTAGTAGACAAGCCATATCCTCATGCCTCTCACAAATCACTATGATTTCGTCAACATATCTCATGTAAAGAGAAACTTTAGTGGTGAGATCACCAGCCAATTTATCAAATGTTTAGTAGGATGCCCTACATAAAATTTAGAAGAACTCGAGGAGTTAAATTTAAGCAACTATGAGCAAATATAAGTTGAGTTCTAAGAAGCAACAAGCATTTAACTCAAGGTATGAGCTTCTAAAGTGAAACACATATATACTGAAGACAGATTAATGCCTCACACTAAAGTAAATTTGCTTAAAAGAGAGAGTGTTGGCGACTAATTCATTTTAAAGTGGTTTTCTTAACGAACTGGTATCAACTGAAGACTGCTCGACAACACCTTTGTTTTAAAGAATATAAGCTGGTAGGTTCCAAACCATTGGTTGATTAGTAACGTATTTACATTGATTGCTCACTGTAGAGAAACCAACTTTATGTTGTCTAGTCCTAGGTGCTGATCGAATTTCGTCGATAACTTTACAATGTGGCCACCAGGCCAAGGGACTCACCATCACGATGCACTCAGATTACCTCCATCCAAGTAGTATCTACCTCCAATGACCAGTCGTAAATGAGGTTAGTCGCAGCCCGAGTTATTCAGCGGTAAGGTGTCTGTCTGCGGCACTATGTGACGTGGGTTGGAATGTCAGGAGGGAAATCAGTTTCGTCGAGGTTGAAGACAGGGCCTGCTGACAAGTAGAAGGCTTCATCCCGACTGTCTTCAACCAAACACTAATGTGCTTGCTACAAAACCTGGTGGTCCCTGACTTGATGTTTCATAGTGTTGTGGGTACGTAATTCTGAAAGAGTTCCAATCTGTCCAGTACTCCTGGGTTTTGAATGATTCTCCAACCGATTTCAATCTGTGATAAATACTATTTAAAACTGATATCTCATCTTTTTTTAATGCATAATTTAAACAAACAATAACAGCAACACTGGTTACAGGGAATAAAATGAATTGGTTTCTTATTCCATGGCTTTTCATCAGCTGGCTGTAACTGAGTAGAGATTGAAATTGTAATCCCGTCGCAAAACTTGATGCATAAACTTTGATAAGTGCTAAGCGCTAAGGATCCGATAACTACTGCAGTTATCCACTGATGACTAGTTCATGTAACTGTGAAGACGTTTTGTCGTTTTTTTTCGCCTTACCTACAGATTCAGCAATCCTTGAAAAACTTCTTGATGAAACATCCCTTTTCACCAAATATCCTGAATTAAGAGATGAGGATACTTTAGTCTTAGTACTATGCTATGACTATACTATGCGAAATTTTCAATGTCGTACAATTCAAAGCAATGAACGTTCACTTGAAATGCCTGAAATGCTAAAGTTACTCTACCGAATGGTCGAGTTGTACTTTTTCCACCTGGAGAAGAAACATTCAAGGTAGGCAAACAAAAGAATATTAGAAATCTTTATTTTGGATAATATAACCAATTGACAAGAACAGAAAACTGTTAACCACTGACTTCGACCCAGCGGTTCATTGATGATTGGTTCACGCCAAGACTAGAAGGTTCTAAATCCAATCCCTGGTGGGGTCAAGGGTGTACACTTCTGAGAAACCTCATACTAAGACGCAAAAGCTATTCAGTGAAGAATACTACCTTCAGGTGAATTGTATGCGGTAAGGTACTGGTCTGGAGTATTTTGCCTTGTGCCAATTCCTAACCAACCCCATGAATCATTTGTTCGTTCCATTTTATCTTGACTTGCAGGAAGGCAAGATCATGGTGAAACAGGGATGAAAGTGAATAGTAGTATTCTGATGTTTCCCAGGGTAGGTTGTGAATAGTTTTTTTCAGTTCATCGGGATCTTATTTGCCGTACTCAGATATTCATCTGGTTCTGTCATATACTTATTGTAAACTGAAAATATGAGGAAGTAAGTATTATTAATATTATTATTATGTAATATAACTATAGATAAGTTTGATATATTACGACGGTTAGGGTTTTGTTGCCATTTAAAATAGTTACTCAATTCATACATTGTTCAGAGCTCATCGATTAAATAATTCCACTATGTTTCAGGTTTACTCATAAGCTGCATGTTTAAAAAGAAAGAACAGGTTGATACGAACGATGAAGGAAGTTTTGAAAACAAACTAGATAGAAATACTACTCTAAAACATCCAGTTTAGTAGTAAATTGAGTGCTGAAAGTTTTTCACATTCTTCATAGCTTTCCATGTCACCTAGACATCATCTTCAGTATAGCTATGCAACGAAATGGAGTTGGTTTCTCCTCAATCAGTATTTATAGTGATAATTTTAAGCAGACTAGAAATAGTAGAGAATATTTGTAGTTCAGGTGGATGGTCTTGGTTAAATTGTGTACTCTGAGCTTGGTTGTTCAATTGTGCAGCCTTCATCATCTTACTAGATGACATCATATCACCACATCACCTTCAATTGCAGAAGCAGTCATGCAGACACTAGAAGCCATCATTCTACTTGAGATTAAAACAAAAATTTAAATTTATCATCACCAGAAAGGATGGTATAGAAAACACTCACAGTTTGATCAACAACGTTTTCAATGACATCGAATTCACAATGGAGAAGGAGTGAAACAACCAACTATCATTCATCGATGTTTCAATCAACAGGACAAATACCGGAATGTTGGAAACACAAGTATACAAGAAATCAACACACATTCATCAAATCCTCAACTACAGTGGCAACAGCAACAACAACAACAACCCATCAACGCACAAAATTAGTTGTGTTCACACTCCATTCAGAAGAGTGAGAACACACTGCACTGCAATACAACAACCTCATAGAGAAACAACGAAAATTACTTGATACACATCCTCAAGAAGAACATCTATCCACAAAATCTCACCACAAAATGCCTATCCCCTACATCATCAACTACAAAGTCATCGACACAAATCAATAAACACATCATCCTACCATACACAAAGAATATATCAGAAATCACAACGAGATTACTCAGAACACTTGGAATTGGTGAAGTTCATGAACCAACAAATCCCCCCCACCCCCAAACACTACTATGCAGACTGAGGGATGCAACAACAATCAGAGAAGACAAACCGAATATCATCTACAAAATCAACTGTTATAACTGTGGTCAACACTACACTGGAGAAAGTGGTCGTCGTCTTCACCTTCGTCTACATGAACACTGATTGGGCAATAAACGTCACACATGACATTTCATCACTGATTTCAGTGCATGTGGATAACTAACAACTATGGATATGAATTCACTTTTAACAGTGTAGTGCTGAGGTTGAACGGAGAGGGGAAACACAAATAATAATATCAGAGAATTCCTATAGGTTTGGTATTCAGTTCAGTCAGTCAGTCAGTCAGTCAGTCAGTCAGTTTGTCAGTCAGCAGTCAATAGATGTATAGACATAGAGCCAAGCTATCAATCAGTGATAAAAGTGAAAAATGAGAGAAAGGTGAGTGGTCAGACAGAGGAAGGGCCAATAGGAAAATGTGTGTAGTCAATGAGGCAACAGTCAGAGGAGAGAAGCAATGACAAAGCAGTTCATCAGTGTAGGCTACTACTGAATCACTTATGGAGAGATATTGACAGCTCACTTCATATTGAAGTTATTGATGATGATGTTGTCTAGAGGAGGATGAAAGCTCCACGATTAAACAACTCACTTCAGATAACACAATATAACCAAGAAAGTAGACTTACAAATTGTATGCACCTATCAAAGCGTCAGAAGAATTCTAAATCTATTATGAAACTATCCACCATTGTCTTAAATCATGTCTGCATTCCACGACTACATCTATCTACTTCACTGTTAATCTTTAAAAGTTGTACAGTAAAACCATAACGGTATAGTGTGCTTCATATAACTTTAAGGTGGGAGAATTTCTTTTAGTTACAAAGGTTGTAAAACAGAATTATCACTTTTACCGTAGAGACGTGTAATTCATCATGATTTTCTAGGTGTCATCAGAAACAAAGAAAAGAATTAATGTTTAAATTACAAATGAAACCCTACAGAATCTGGATTGAATTACATAAATAATTACTACTGGTATTCATTTTCATCATGGACAAGGTTGTCATGTGATTGAGACTTTAAAGATCAGTGTGTGAGAAGTGATTTCAATAGAACATTTGATAATATTGAAGAACAAAAACAAGAAGTCAAGTAGATGATGTGGATAACGCATGTAATATGCTTCTAGAGAAATGCTCAGCACACTTCCAAGTCTAATAGGAGCAGAAAGGAGCAAATGATTATGTAGTCAACTTGTTGAAGTCAAGAGTGACCGAAATAAACCTTACTCCAAAAGTACTGAAATACAATAAACAGGTTATCAACAAGCTCATCAAGGTTAGATGTGCAAATTTTACAGGAATTAAGATTAAAAATTGTGTCTTTGAGAAGACAGAAGAACAATTTAGATCAGTTAACTGCCTTGAAAGTGTTAGTACTCAAAAGACTCAAAAATGAAAACTATATGATTGAATAGCCCAGTGAATAAGCCTCTGAAGTTTGAATTACGGTCAAAAAATTCAGTAGCAACACCACCACTCACTAGGAATCAAGTCATGCAGCTGATGAATCCGAAATAGGGCAAAACATACTTTCTGGACTCTGTTGCTGGCAACCATTGTTGTAGATAAGACAAGGCTGTTTCAATAAATTACTGTCGAGAAAATTGTATAACCTGTGGAGTTAGTAGTTCACCTTCACTTATCCCTTCGACACCGTTATCGGAGGAGACTGAATTGATAATCGTTCGGCGTTTACCAATATTTTATGCTTGGTTCATGGAAATTCGTCACAAAACTGGGTGACATCACAGAGTAAATTAGTTTATATGGTAAGTTAATAAACAATCAGAAGATTAGGTAATATGAATTAGATAAAAAGTTAATTAGAATTCAATTGAACATGTTTTGTTTAAAAGTTTAAATTATTAAGAAGATCAAATGAAGTAACACCGGAAACTATGAAGTGTAAAAATAACGGTACAAGAAAGCATAGATTAATCTGACAAAAGAGGAAGTTGAAAAAACAAAATAGAAACGAATTACACCAAGACAAATATAAGTTAAGACTAAGGTACAGACATAGACTATACTGTATATACTTCCTGTACACATAAAGGTCAAAAGACTTCAGTTCAGGATAGCTAAAACCTCTGCTTTTTTCGAAAGTTGAACATAGAGGAAACGTGAGATTTTTGAGTGAATTCGATAAACAATCTCAAAATCATTGTTTGGATCAGTAGAACGGTTGGAATTGATTAGATGTTTAAGGATGGAGGTTTTGATGCGTTTCTTTTCACCCTTATGAAACCAGACAGGAATATGTTTTCGCATACGTGTTGACTGAAGACGTCACATGTTAAGTGATTCACATTGGAAAGATCAGTGACACCTTTGAAGTGAAGACAAGAGTAAGACAAGGCTGCCTACTATCACCAATCGTCTTCATGGTTGTGGTCGACTGGATCATGCAGCAGACCGTGAGGAGCGAGAAGACGAGAATACGCTGGACCGAAGAAAAGACCCTAGAATATTTGGATTTCGCCGACAATGATGGTTTATGTCTAATGTCTTGTCGCACAAACTAGTAGATCTACAGGCAAAAACCAACAAATTGACAGAAAAGGCGAGGCAGTGAATGAAGATGGGACCTCCTTCAGGTGAACATAGAGAAGACAGAGGTGATGAAGATACCCAACCAACAACAGCATCAACAACAAGTACCAATCACCATCAACGGGAGAAAGTTAAAGGAAGTTATCTCTTTCACCTACCTAGGCAAGGCAGCATTGTTTCAACTACAGGTGGCGGCACAGAGGAGGATGTCAAAGCCATGATCGGAAAAATAAGACGGGCTTTCATTAATGTGAAATCATTGTGGAGATCTACTGCACTCACCACAAAGAACAAGATCCGGATTTTCAACACTAATTCAGTCAAGTCAGTGTTGCTATATGGTTCAGAAACTTGGCACGTTACGAAATCATTTCCAACAAACTACAGACATTCAACAACAGCTGTCGCCTTCGCTCACTCGATACTGAAGATCAGATGGCCAGAAACAATAACGAGGAATACTGAGAACGAACCAACCAAGAATCTGTCGCCCAACAAATATACAGAAGAAAAAGGGATGAATTAGGGATACACCTAGAAAGCCAATTGGGGAGTTAATAAACAATCGTGAAGATGATTGGTGATAGTAGGCAGCCTTGTCTTACTCTTGTCTTCACTTCAAAGGCGTCACTGATCTTTCCAATGTGAATCACTCAACATGTGACGTCTTCAGTCAACACGTATACGAAAACATATTCCTGTCTGGTTTTATAAGGGTGAAAGGAAATGCATCAAAACCTCCATCCTTAAACATCTGATCAATTCCAACCGTTCTACTGATCCAAACAATGATTTTGAGATTGTTTATCGAATTCACTCAAAAATCTCACGTTTCCTCTATGTTCAACTTTCGAAAAAAGCAGAGGTTTTAGCTATCCCTGAACTGAAGTCTGTTTGACCTTTATGTGTACAGGAAGTATATACAGTATAGTCTATGTCTGTACCTTGGTCTTAACTTATATTTGTCTTGGTGTAATTCGTTTCTATTTTGTTTTTTCAACTTCCTCTTTTGTCAGATTAATCTGTGTTTTCTTGTACCGTTATTTTTACACTTCATAGTTTCCGGTGTTACTTCATTTGAACTTCTTAATAATTTCAACTTTTAACAAAACATTTCCAATTTATTCCAATTAACTTATCTCACTCATATAAATTGCGTAATTCTTTGATTGTTTATTAACTCAACCATGTTTTCACCCCTTTGTAATCAATTATGGTAACTGTTAATGGAGTCCTTCAGCCCGTTGATGAAACGTCAAAAAAACAACCATTAATGCTCAAAGAATAACGAAATTAACATCCTCATGCTGAGCTATAAATTCTGCCGACTATCATTGCATCAAAAGTATTCAGAATGGAAGTGATGATTTCATTGAACATCAGTCACACTGACATCACAATTTTATTGATTTTATCTTAACTAAACTTGGTGCAAGTTACCATGGCTGTCGTTAAAGTAGTAAGATCCGTCTATAGGAACATTAAAAAGGCTGTTTTAATATTCCAGTTTGATACAACTTATCGATTTGTCTTACAATGCATGAACTATAAGAGTGGACAAGAAGAATAATCTAATCATTTTTATCTACAACAACTACAGAAACTGACATTTTAGCAGTAATTGAACGGAAACTTTATATAAGCTATCTAAACAATAGGTTTGTTGACACTGTTTTCTAAGGATCTCATTCAAATGAACGCTGTATAAAGTATTAGATTCAATATTTTCAATTGATGTCCTGTAAGGATTTATTGATTTCAAATAGATCTCATCATGGATTGACATGAGTAGGAAATCGTTGAAAGCCTAGTAATACTGAAAAACTGTCTGGTCCTAGTTTGCGACGTCTCAACAGTGCTGAACCAAGACCATACGAAGGATCAACAGATCCCTTCAAACCATCCCTTAAATAACTATCCAGTGCTCACCAGTGAAATGGTTTTGGGCCTGACCCTTCCCATGATGAAGAGCCTCAAACTAGGCCGACACAGCTGGTCACTACTCCCAAGTGATACCAACCTGTGATGAAAAGTATTTTTAACCCAGTGTTTTAAGTGAATATGACTCCATACTTTCTACGACAATAATGCATCATTTATTACTTCTGAGATTACACGTAATGCAAACTGTCAGTTGACTCCTTTGGTAAACCATTAACGTATATGAAAATATGAATAGTCGATTTCTGTTAAGATGTTAATGATGGATAGTGTAGCTAGCAGTGGGATCCAGGATGTATGTTTCGTCCTATTTGGGACTCGTCAGTTGGATGCACCTACCTCCCAGTGAATGATTTTGTCTCCACAACGGTGGGCGTCCTCGCGGCCCAACCAATACACTATCAAGTTGACTTAACGATAATTGTGGTCGATGAGATCTATATGCAAAAAGTCAGGGGCACAGTCTTTAATGCACGGTGGTTTTTTAAGCTTTCAGGTAAATAGGGCTTTGTAATACCGGTGGTGGTTGTTGTTGAAGCAGTCTCGTGAGACAGGTTTAGTTTAACCTTCTAAAGGGGAGGGGTACTCTTTCAGGAATGGTAGGTGTTGTTAGCCCTAATCTTGGTTTGAAAAGAGTCCCTGCTAAGAATATGTCGACATTATGGGTTCATGAACTAGGACTCTTAGAAGAATATATTTTGGGGAAGATGAACTGCATTCTTGGTCTGTAGTAAGGTTGCGAAGACTTCAGTAAGACACGTCCCACTCATATATGCCTACTGGAAGGTGAATATGATAAAGAAACCTATTATCGAAATGTGGATGAGTTGAAGTTTAACAGTTGGGAGGGCTCTGGGATAACACTAATCAGTTTGAGCAGGCGTTAGTAGAATGTTCTGACAGGAGTATCATTTTTCCTGTGGATGCGTTGCTACGATGTTTCCTGCTTGGTGTGGGGTTAGATTCACCAGATTTATGTTGGAACCTCCATAAACCTTAAGTTCATCAGGTGTTGAAACCTAAGTAGTCACACTGGTAACAGTATTAATAAATAAACCAAGAGAGATGATATAGCGTTATAAACTCAAAAAAGTGAAAACCTTCAACCTTCTTTTGTAGGTTTTAACCGAATACTTACAGTCTTTGCTAAATGTGGTTTACTCTGAGTTCTTTTATTATATTTGTTCGATCTAAAGCAAAATGTTCCCTGAATCTTAACTTGACTGTAGCTATAATTAACAGATTACTGTAGTTTGTTCCACTGAAGACATATACGCTGTCGACAGCAAGAGTTAATTGACAGACAACGCTACTTTGACGTAAACATTTTAATTATCGCCATTCATTAGCAAGGCATATCTATAAACTTAAAGAAACTCACTTCCCTCTTGAACACTGAAACTTAGATTAGCTAGTGCTGAAGTCACGAAACTACTCAGCCGCTGTAGGACTATAGCATATCCATGAATAGATAGCCGGATAGTAACTGAAGTATTTGTAAATGCTGTCTTCACCTCAGATCGACGTGATACGACACAAGGGTAAATTTTGTGTAATGTTTCACTATCTTTACATGTTACAGGAAATCCATATGTAATCAGTGTTGTTCACATTTGTGGGTTGATTCATTTAGGCAGTTGAAAGTTGTGTTCAAACTATGTGTACACAATTAGCTGCTTGTGTTGCACGTATACGTGTTCGTAATCAAGTGACTTCACTAAGACATCTATTACCAGAAGATTGGCGTAAATCAGAAGAAATCACTGAAAATATGCCTTTGTATGGATGGTATAATCAATTACTTGGCAAGTAAGCTTCTGATATGTTTTTGAAAGAGAATACTTCACTTGTTATGAATTCATTCTACTCACTATTCAAATGTTGCTTTTATGGTCTAGTTAATCTTGAGAAATTTTGACTAATGAATAAGAACAATGGTTGAAGTTTAAGAAGGTTACAGACCATAGTAGGATTCGAAATAGAAAACCATTGGATCACCTTAAACAGTATTCTAATGACTAAGCCAGACTATCAGATTTATCGGTGACCCATAACTGCTCATTCACTTACCTCACCAGCTGCCCAGTTGGGTAGTCGGGTGATCACTTATTCCTAAGTGAATAAGAAATCAGTAGTTTGGAAACCATTATTGTGTTATAAAACAGAAGAAACAAATCACTACCCTGCCACAGTTATTTGCTCAGATGATGCTAAAAAGGAAGAGTGAACGACCATCCATGATCTGTTTACTAGGAATGGTTACTCAGACAAGTTTGTAACTAAGCATATGAACATTACGAGGCTTAAGACAAGAACGCCAGCAGTTTCTAAGAGGCAAATCTTCTTGAAGCTGAAGTTCAAGAATGACGTTGCCATTGGGATCTTCATACAGCGCATAAAAAGAGTCTTGCATAAAACCTTCCCCTAAGTTATGTCCCATCTTCTACAACCGCGTGATTCTAGGTGCAAGAAACAAAGACAAACTACCTGATTCTGCCACTTCCATGTGGATTTATCATTTCAACTACTTTCGTGGAGCTAGTTACCTTGAACGCACAATGAGGCAGCCCCATAGTCGAATTTCTGAGCACCATGCATCATGGTTGAACAAGGAATAAATTAGAACAATAAAGAGCTCCATACTTGCACACCTAGTTGACACGGGACATCAAGTGGACACTAGAAAAGCTTTCAAAATCATTCATCAGATTCCAGATAATTTACCGCATGGATTACTCACTCGCTTACTGCAAGTAGCAGAGGTAATTGCAATTCACCGTTACAAACCCAGCCTTTGTATTCAAAAGAAGTTTGTTTGTTTGGAAAATCCTGTTAACCCTATTACATTTATTTATTTGATTTATAACACACAATGAACATAGCATTATTTACTTGATGATGTTCCAAGTATAAATTATCATTTGTTAAGTTGCCTAGTAGTACACCCTACACAGCTTTCTTTACAAGAGCAGCTAAACTTGTAAATACACATGGAAATGATAAAACTAGATAACTTATCTTTTGTCTGAGCAGCAACAATTGGTTGACTGGAAAATGATCGACAAAGTTGTGCGGCGTAGAAGGTCCTTTTAATGGCTCTAGAGAGTCTGATATAAAACTTCTCCGACCACATCCCCACTAAATTTCAACTTCATAAACGAAGGTTTCTTTTGTATGGTAATAATACCACATACGACTCACTTAGACCTACAGGGAGCAACACATCACGGTTATATGGTCTGCTTAAAGTACGCAAACCTAGACTGCTTCTTCTTCCAGTTTTAAACATGTCCAACTCCTAATACCACGTAGTTGCTAAATGGCTAGTTAGGATTTTAGATCCCTTGCACACAGAATTAGTTAACCACAGTGTAAAAGACGTCTTCGGATTTATTTCCAAGCTAGATAGTGTGAATGTAAACGTCAAACATATGATGTCGCTTGATATCTCATCATTATTCACCAATGTGCCATTACTCGAGATGATAGAGTTTGTCTGTCAACAAATATCCGAAAGGCAAATCAACATCAGGATTCCTGTACACATTCTCAAGGAACTGCCTCTTAAATGTACTATGAATGTACATTTTGCCTTCGATAGCTCTCATTATAGGCAGATTGATGTCATAGCTATGGGTTCACCACTCGGTCCTATTTTGACTGATGTATTTCTTGCTAAACTGAAGAATGGAGCATTGAAAGAGGTCATTAAGGAGATGACTATGTATCACCGTGATATTGACGACACATTCATTATCCTGGATCAGAATGTCGATACAAACGAGGTGTTAAGTTAATTTAATGAAGTGCACCATTCGATCACTTTCATTTGTGAAGAAGAAAATGCCAGTTAACTACACTTATTGGATGCCTTGCTAAGCAGAAGAGATGGTTCATTCAGTTGATGTGTTTACGGAAAGACCACATTTTCCTAGTCATGTACTAATTCGCTACAAAGCAAACCTGGTTGAATGCCTCACTAACAGGGAGAGAAAAATATATTCAGATGATCTGGTACAGAAGGAGTTAGATCTTATCCGTAATTCATTGGTTGAAATGGGCAACCCTAACAGTTTCATAAAAAGACACATGGACAAAACCAGGGGGAACGAACCTGGTATTATTACCATACAAAAGAAACCTTCGTTTATGAAGTTGAAATTTAGTGGGGATGTGGTCGGAGAAGTTTTATATCAGACTCTCTAGAGCCATTAAAAGGACCTTCTACGCCGCACAACTTTGTCGATCATTTTCCAGTCAACCAGTTGTTGCTGCTCAGACAAAAGATAAGTTATCTAGTTTTATCATTTCCATGTGTATTTACAAGTTTAGCTGCTCCTGTGAAGAAAGCTGTGTAGGGTGTGTTACTGGACAACTTAACAAACGTGTTGCTGAACATCCACCTTGATGGTTGGGAAACGAACAGATGAAATCCATCAGAAGCTCGGTTTTTATCTCACCTTGTTGGTCATTTGGTAGATAAGATCATTGCTTTCACGACTGTACACCGCATACCATCTCATCTTTCGAAAGGTATTCAAACTTGTCTTTTACACATAGCAGAAGCTGTGAGAATTCTAGCTAATAATCCTAGTCTTTGTATTCAGAAGAAATTTGTTCATCCCTTATCTCTCCCTTGGTTAGCTTATAACTTTATCATTAAGTTTTTTTCTTACCCCTTTTCTTATTCTTCCCTCCTTTCATATACCAACTGTATTTGACTAGGCTTTGTTGATCCACTTACCTCGCCCTTCACTATTACGTAACTTTTGTTTTCACAAGCTTTTGACCCAGTTTGATAAATTATCATCACTCATAATCATATCAGTGTCATCACACTACTTTCGACATTCGGTCTTAATAGTCATGTTACCTCATACTATTCCTGCTTTTTGATAGTAAAGTTTCCCACATCTCTTATATAGGTGTTACGTCATTCCTATTACATGTGTTGGGTTGGGTGTTGATTCGATGGACAAAGATTCAGTAATCAATCCCCGTCCCTCTCGCCACCTAATTATATTCGACTCAGGTACAGTGGTTTCATCTCACCCACTCCGTTGTGTGGTGTGTGTGTGTGTTAATGCATGCATTGCAATAACCGAGTCTTCTTCTGGATTACTGGTCTCATTCGGGTCTAAATTTCTATTTACGGCTATTCTAACTGACCCCGACCGGCTAGTTTCACCTATGTAATAAACCTCACAGTCATTACATGGAATTTGGTAGGTTAGATCATCTTGCTTAATTGGTTCTATCTGATACTTCAGCCACCCGACAAAGCTTATCTCTCAGTGAGTTTGTAGGTTCAAATACCACCCTAATTCCAACCATGTTGAGGATCCTACGTGAAGTTTCCGATGTACCTTCCTTATAGGGTAACACAATGGTGGTTGTGACCTCTTTTCTACTTGTGTTGTCGTTATTATTCCTACTCGTGTGACTGTTATCTTTTCGTTTCTTGTGTGTTCGTACGAATTTCTGAATAAACTGTAGAGGATAATTATTAACTAGTAGCGCTTCTTTCACGTACTTCAATTCCTTGTTTACGTCCCTGCACTAACTAGTGAGTTTTCTAATTCTATCACTAGGACATTTGACTAAATCTGCCTTAACTGACATTGGATGAGTTGACTTGAAGTCTAGATATCCGTTAGAATGTGTCGATTTTCTGTAGACGGTAATATCCAAATCACCGTCTGTGCTTCGTTTATCTTGTAATCCAACATTGGTAATTCTCCTTGTCCATTTTCTATCTCGTAAGGGAATTGGATTGCATCCACACTGAATTTGTATGTATGAGGAAATTGTCGATATGTTCCGATTTCAACACAGTGAATGTTTCATCCACATATCGCCACCATATTTTTGGTGCAGGACTAAACATTTGTAACTTCATGTTTTCCCCATTATCCATAAATATATGTGTTACGATTGAGGATATTGGCGAACCCATTGCTACTCCTTCTATTTATCTGACTGTGAGTAAGGTCACGGACATTGGTCAAACTAACCGGTTGGGGTCAGTTAGAATTACCGAACATCGAAATTTAGCCAAATAGAGAAAGACAGACCCGAATAAGATCAATAATCTAGAAGGAGACTCGACTGTTGCAGTGAATGCATTAATACACAACCACACAATGCAATGGGTGGGACAAAGCCACTGTCCTTAAGTTCAGTATAATTAGGTCGAGAGAGAGGCGGGGATTGATTACTGAATCTTTGTTCATGGAATCAACACCCAACGCAACACATGTAATAGGAATGATGCAACATCTACTACCAATAGAAACAAAGAATATGAGGTTGGTGACAGGACTATAAAATTGATCGGTGAAAGTTGTGTGATTACACTGATGTGATTATGCTCGAAACATCATGAAGTAAATAATAGTATATCACTGTGTGCTGTATATCAAACAAATAAATCTAATATGGAATTAAATTCTACCACAGTGCCCAAGGTTTACACCTATGTTAATTGCTGCTATGTTATAGAACAGAAGTAATAAATCATTATCAGTCTCTACAATTAAGTATGAATATCACGCTCACTAAAGAGTAATTTTAAAATAGCTGTTACTCAAGTAACCTTTTAGACCGGAATTTATGAAATAATTCTGTTGGAGAAACATTGGAAACTTGGTAGCACTGGACAGCTGTTTCGTCCCAACATGGAACTCCTTAGCAGTGCGCATCTCGCCAGGGACTGGGCCCAGGACTTTCAGGTTCCGTAGCGAACACGATACCATTGACTCATTGGCTCAGAATTCAACGGTTCACATCTCCTACTTTTGCGCATTCACGATTTGGCGTAGTCTTCATCCAATACCGTCGTTGAGCAACTGTCTTCATGATCGACTAGGTTGACCCTATTGGTCACAGCTTCTCATTAGGACTTCGTGAAGCACATCCTAAGTTAACAAATAAATCCCCACGAACCTTCAAAATGAATTAATCGAATGCTCATTGGTCACTACCTTCGAGAGGTGATTTCTATGGTTGCAATGAGAAATTGTGACGGTTGGACTTAACCAAGCTGGAGAAGAGGAGAGTTACTCAACAACACCACTGGATGGAGATTATGCTTCCTGGATTCCATTGCTATCCACTATCCATTATTAACATCTGATGAGTTGTTTGTAGTTTAGTGTGGTATATTGTTACTGTTTAAATAGACATTTGATGATGTGTGATGTCGGATAAAACCATGATTAATCCTTCCATGCGTAACGAAATTGTTATTGATTATTCTTATTCTACGCTACTATGATGAACACTAAAATCCTATTGGTTATTTGTAAATACTACTGAGTCCATGTTACTGAGACTGTGTTACTGTAAATACAAGTATTGGATTTTGTCTGAAGAAACATGACTGACGATGATACTTCAGTGTTGTTTGAGCTTTATTACTTTGTCATGAATGTTTCATCACTAGGCTTGGTGAAAGCTTCAAGACAACTACTAGAAGCATGGTATTCCAACAAAAAATCAATCAAGATATAGACTCAATCTACAATCTACGTAGGAAGAAAATATCCATCTATCAACCAAGAGTAAATTGACTTAACAAATCAATAGTAGTACAAAGTTTGACGGTAACAAATAGCACAATCTCACATAAAGATTTCCTACTAGTATAATTAAGTGATATTTAAGGTCACAGAGGTCAACTTGTGATAAATCTCTATTGCCCAGCTCACAAACTGATAACAGTCAAGGTCACTAAAAACACTAACTAAATACTTGTGTAACATTCGAATTTATTGCTGATGAAATCACTAAATCTGATGATGAAACTTTCACAAAGCTCAACGAACAACAAAATACAAGATTTCAGAGTGTTTCCCTGGGGTCATCGAGAACCTAGAAAACATTGAGTGGACAAGGTTATCAAAATGGTTCAATGTCCAGCATATTCAGCATTATAAACATTTCATTTTTTTCATTTATTTTGTTATATCTAATCTCAAACTCAGTTTGTTGATGTCCCGGAATCAAAACTAACCAAACGACTTTGGACAACCCTGGGTATTGTCTGGTTACCCATTAGTAATAAGTACTGTTCACAGTTTTCGTTAGTACTTCTATCCTGATGTTACTTTTTCAGTTATGTAAGATGAATGGATTCATTGGGAAGAATAAAAATAGCTGTTCCTTCGGTGGATAACTTTTCGATTACTCAATGAATAAAATAACGGTTACACTTTCTGATGCTAAACATGCTACAGACGAAGATCAGTCATAAATGTTATGCAGTAGTTTCCTTTCCTAAGGTATCATTCACAAAACTTCAGCTTACTTCGATCAACTAGGTATTAAGAACTCCTTTGCCTCACTCACATATTTCTCCGAATATACTTCAGTAAGAAACTAGATACCACTTTTATAACATGTGCGGTAAAATATCCTGCATAGCTGTTATTGTTTTGTAAGTGCTATGTGCTATGGCCGTTTAACAATGCACAGATATCGAGTGTCAGCTATCAATTTAAGTTTGGCAGAACAGAAAGTTTTTCTCAGTGAGCATGGTACATGGCTTCTCAACATACCTGCTGGTATGTCTCTATTGAACTGTCAGCTCATAGAAAGATGCTTTTTAGAAGTCATAGAAATTGAATAATTATTTACTTTTAGTTTCATGGTTTTAACAATCAAAAACTCAGGATACTGGTTTTCAATCAAAACATTTTCTAAAAAATTAAGTTCGTCTTCCAAAGTATGACGAGTGCATTTGTTATGGATTCTAAGCCACATAGAGTGAATTAGCTTTTCTTTAGTGCATAGAGGTACACAACTCCGAATATTCGTAAGTTGTTGGTTCCTTGTGGGTTTCCTCTGGATAGACCTGTCAAGAAATCCATTATCTTGTCTTTTTAACTGTACATCTAAAAAGTATATCTTAGAAGTAAGTTCCTTCTCCAATGTTAACTTGATTGACAGGTGACAGTTACTAAATTAGAAGACGTAGATTATCTGAAAAATGTGATGTATTAGCGCTATACATTTCGAACAATCTGATCACACATTTACTTGTTAAGGCATTATATATGGAAACTGGAAGTGGGGGAAGGAGACATATGACATAAAGGAATTCCAAGTTGTTATTCATCGAAGACTGACATCAGTTGTTCCTCCAACTGATGTCAGTCTTCGATGAATAACAACTTGAAATATTTCCAAATCTCCACAACTCCCTCAAAATTTAATTGAACTAGTGCTCGTTGGTGACTAGCTTCGAGAAGTATTCCCGAAGTTCCAATGACAAGTCGTGACCGGTGGAGTCAAAGCCTGATCGCCGTGAGGACAAATACTCAGCGATGACATTAGGTGTCGGTTTGCGCTATATCGTGAGCTAACAGAAGTTGGAAATATGGAGCATTGGATTCTCACCCAGTGGCTCAATGGTAACGCGCTGGTCGCGGAACCTGAAGGTCGCGGGTTCGATCCCTGCTGGTGGGGTCGTGGGTGCGCACTGCTGAGGAGTCCCATACTAGGACGAAATAGCTGTCCAGTGCTCCCAGGTTTCCTTTGTTCCTCCAACTGATGTCAGTCTTCGATGAAAAACAACTTGAAATATTTCCAAATCTCCACAACCCCCTCAAAATATAACGGAATTCATTTTCATATATAATGCCTTAACAAGTAAATGTGTGATCAGATTGTTCGAAATGTATAGTGCTAATACATCACATTTTTCAGATAATCTACGTCTTCTAATTACATTATCCAAATTCATAAAAGGGACTAATTGTTTCAAGTTACTAAATTATTATTTCTTTTTTATAGACAAGAAATCGTTACAAAATGGTTGAAAGAAAATGGTTTCCGACGTATTATGCTTGGACGTCTACCACAACCGAATGAATATGCATCAGACAAACACTGTTCAGATGTATTCGTTTTCAATAAACAAGATATGAATCGTTTGATTGATTCTGAAATTGTTATACAAAAGAATTTAATATTACAAGTATGTGTTTCATGCGTTAGTTACAGTTATTTGTTGACAGCGATTGTTATACTTGTCCCTCTGGTAAATTGACCATTTATTTCGATTCCTTGACAATAATGACTGATAAAACTTCGTCTACTTTACTAGTTAATTAGTTACTAGTCGGTTCTAAGCCCGGATAATGGGGGAACGTTGGGCATACGGTTAGCAACCTCAACCCGGAAAACAAATCCAATCCCTGAAGAAACTCTAAAGCACAAAAAAATGTAAAAAACAAAAATGAACTTGTTCCTTGCTAGAATCGGAGAGACGAAGTGACGCCGGATGGTGAAAGCCTTCGGGAAGCCAATTAGACGATGTGTTTTCTCTCCCTCGATGAGAGCGAAAGTAAACATGGGGAAACGGAATCTCCGAACAATGTTTGAACCTAACAAGACTACCCAAATTGCCAAAGCAATGAGAAGATATGGCATGAAAGTGCTTGGAATCTGAGAAAGCAGGTGGAATGGAAGTGGACTCTCCAAACCATCAACTGGAAAGTCAATAATCCACTCCAATATTGTCACCCAGACGACAACCACGAACACACTGAGTTTTGGGGTAGCTATCCTGATGTCGCAGACATATTTATGGATAGTTGGGAACAGATGGTCCTTCAAACATTTAGTCCTACTCCAAAGATATGGTTCCGATATGTAGATGATACGTTTACAGTACTGAAATCAGAACACATCAATAGGTTCTTGGCATGTATCAATTCAGTAGTGAATGTAATCCAATTTACCTGTGACTTAAAAAGTGAAGAAGGGGAGCCAGCAATGTTGGATTGCAAGATTAAGCGAACACAAGAAGGAAATCTAGAGACTAGTGTCTATAGGGAACCTTCTTAATTGAATCGCTACATAGACTTCAAACCATCTCACCCCATCTCATTTAAATGCCTAAGCGATAGGGTGGATAAGCTGACTAGTAGGCCATAAAATTTACGACAAGAAATTAAACATATCAAGCATACTTTGCGTCTCAGTAATTACCCATCAAAACTTATGAATAAATTCATAAGAAATCGAAAGAAAAATATTAGCAGTAGTAGTAATACAGGTGTTATTAATAATAACAGTCCCACTACTAATGGTAATAATGGTTACAGGGTTTACAGACAATTCAAACTCTCTGTTGTATTACCATACAAGGAAGGCACCTCAGAAGCTTTACGAAGAATTCTCAATGAGGCTCACTGGGATCAAAGTGGCATTCAAACTAACAAACTCACTTAGAAATAAGCTTTGTACGTTAAAAGATCCTATCGATGCAATTAAGTAAAATAATCTGGTTTACCAGATCCCTTGCAATGATTGCGAGGTCAAGTACATAGGTCAAAGCAGTCGACCAGGGTCGATTAGAATAACAGAGTACAAAAAATCAGATAAATGAAGACTAGTAGATCCTAATAACATAAGAAACCTACAGAAAAGCTCTGCTATAGCTCTGCATGTGATGATACACAATCACACACTAGGGTGGGATAAAGTGAGAGTGTTGAAAACTTAGTTGGGTGGAGTGGGGGAGAGATGGATAACCGAATCTTTGTTTATCGAACCAACACCGAATACATTCAATCAAAATGATTCTACACCTGCCCCAAATATATGGAAAATTCTACTACCCTTGTCATCACAGAGAAGGAGACAAAATAAGAACTATATAAACTGTCTGAAAGCTGTGGAGTTATCTGATATAACTGTGGAAAATATATTGTGTCTGAAACGTTGTTATCCAGTAAGTGGTACTGTTCATTCACTGTATGACATTTCCAATAAACAGACTAAAATAGAATTTAAATCTACTACAGTGCCCAAGTTTTACTCCTATACATATTCTCATTGCTATCATTATCATTATTATCACTCGTTCATGTTATTAATACTATAACTAATACTTTTGTTTACCAAACACCTATGTTCTCTTAGTGTGCACATTTACCAAGGTATTGAGTAGATTACTAATTGTTCTGTTTAATATGATGTAATCCATCCGTAGTCCGTTTTGTTTTCATTATTAATTCGTTACCCCCCTCCCAACCTTACCCAGCTCTGTTTAACACAAGTAAATGATTTACTCCTTGATGCCATGCTTCGGTCAATGTCTTAGTCTGCATTATATGAGTATGCATTCCTCCATCGCACAACAGTATATAAAATCATGTATGTAGATGAAAAAGCTGATGAGCCCTACTGAAATTTATGAACTTAATAAATCCTGGTTTGATGATTTTTGTCTGTTGTTCTAATGTTAACTGTCAGTGGCAGTGGGTTTGGAAGTGCTTTACACTTAGTGCTCGAATTTGCTCATAAGTGAAATGTGAATCCACTGTTGATTATTTCAAGCAACATGAGTTATCTACTACATCAAGAAGTTACAAAATGAGAGGCATCTGCATTATTGAAGAAACTCTTGTCCTCTCATATATTTGAACCGAAGTTGCGTATAGTGAATGGTAAGGTGTCTATCTGGTTTCTGTACTTACTGATAGAGGTTCAACATTCGACAAGACGTAGATTTCTGTTTCAGAGAAAGGTGTCTTTGAGAAAGTTGTTGACATTTTGTAAGCCGTGTTAGAAAATATCTCAAATAGGATGATGGGCGGTGGCTATTTGCTCACTTGTTTCCATAACAGATAGGTAGCCTCAAACAGTCGCCCAATTCAGTCACTATATTTCAGCTTTTCAACAAACCACACTTTATTTAATTATCTGAAGGAAGTTCATAATGGGTACTAGGCAAGAAAGACAAGTCGATTGATGAGATTGTGAACCTTAGTCAGTTTAATATGGCTTGCACATATACTGAGCATACCGAGCTACCTCCTGTCTCGACATACTATGTCAGGAGAAGTTAGATTAGGTTGGAAGTGGATTCAGGGTGGTCAGACCAACATGTAACACCAGTCCATGGAGTCTTTGGCTTTTAGTATCAGCCCTGTGTGTCTGACTGGGGTCCCCTGGACGAAGGAATCAGTGGCTGAGAACTCTTGGTGACATGCCTGGAAGTCGATCACAATGGCAGAAATACATTCGCTCATTGACATCTTCTGAAGCCTGAATATTTTCACTAACCTCTAACCTTCAAGTTATTTATTCTCTCATATTACTTTATCTATTCTTTGCATACTACTGTGAAGTGTGACAACTTGATCGAGTGTACCTGTGTGCTAGATTCTACATTGGTTTTGTCAGTCAGTCAGCATGGCGATGGAAGTTCACTACGTGAAGGAAGACCTTTCCGGTGGGTATCAAATAAATGCATGATAACATACAAATATGTTTTGACACTAGATGGTAGGAGTTAAACTGGCAAGAAACCCTGCTTCATCCAGCCTTTTTGCTTACTGTCACTCATCAGCAAAGTCTGTCTGCAACCATGAGGTAACTGTTGCTTCATCGGGGATTCAAATCTGAGTACCTCAGTACTGAAGTCAGGAACCTAACCGCTAAGCCATTCACTCCACGACTGACTTCTTTTAAGACTGGATTATGCACACGATTTGATAACCGGCGGATAACCCATGTATCTGTTTAGTTCATGGTTCTCAGAGCTTATCGAAGTCTTTCGGCCTATTTCTGCGTACTTTATCCATTAACTTTGGTCAGTGCTAAAGGCTATGGCCTTGATATCTACATAGGTTATCTACTGGTGACCAAGTTGTATACAAATATATTTCGTTCCATCCCACCAGTTAGTGTAAAGTTTTCTCACCAATAGGTTGCAAATCAATGATAATGAGACAATGTGTACATCTGAAATTCGTCAGTATCATTCGGTAACAACGTACTATGAAGGAATATTAACAAACACAAAATAGTTGTCTATTTTTGTTGGATCTTGAGTTATTCTTCAGTAAATTTCAGTGTGTAATGACAATCACTTTGAAAATCTACTTCTGAACAATTTCATGCTGGTTAGTAGATTTCCTTAGGTAAGTTACAATGATTGGAACACTAAACAATCCATTCCATAGATTGGTAGCAAACTCAATAACATTGTATTCAAATTGACTGTAGTAGCAACATTGGTTGTAAATACTTGAAACTTGTATCAAAGATAAAAAGACTTTTGATTCAATCGAAGTTGATACGACATCACAAATGAATAGTTGAAAAAAGTTTTGAGAGGCATCAACGCAGGTTGAACAATCTGGGTTAAAGTTCGCCCTCTCATAACATATGGCTGTAGAAAATGGTCAGTGAAGGATGAGAATGTGAGACGACTTCAAATATCCGATTATCTTTCTCTTCGTAGCATCAGCTGTGCATCATGGTGTAAACACGTTAGTAATGCAGTAGTTAGAGATAGAGTTTTAGGTAGAAAACGAAAGTCAGTTGATGAAACTCCAAATCTTCATCGACTCAGACGTCCAGGATATGTGTTATACATCCCGGAATTAGGTTCAGGTCAGAAAAGTCTTAGATGTGACCAAACTAAATTATGATATCAGCTTCGGAAGTCTTTGACTAATAATATGAGCTTTGTAGGCGAATGCATATATCCGAGTTGAGGTTCATGTGACAAGAAAAAGTGTCGGTCAAACATTGTTGGTGATATAGTTAGGAATCGATGTCAGTAGCATGACTATATCCACACATTATCTTTATCTTAGTATCTCGTTCCTCCTTGCTTTCTGTTCCCAACTTTCTACCACTTTCGACTTCTTTCATCCATATTTCTTGACATTTCATCTTGATAGATTCTCGCTTGATGGATTAGAATGAGTTGTGGAAAACTGGACTTTTACACAGTAATACCAGATGTCATATAGAAATAATCTGTCCGTCTAGTCTGAAAAGTAGCCGTCGAAATCCTTTCAAATTTCTCAGGAATATCCAGAATAAACATTTTTCTTTAAAAAGAAACAAAATGATGAGATTGAAAAGACAATCGATCTAATTTGTAATTTTGTTTTTATTTTACTTTTCGAGGATAAAAGTTCTTGTCTAGCTGTTCATTGTTTACTTTCAAACTATACTGGAGGTGAAGAAGTTCTGTTCGTCAACTGTATAAACATTTATTCAGCTATACACTTAGAAAGTTTAATTGGTAATAAATTTCCACTGATTCAACCTATCCCACAAATTCGTTGTATACGACCATTCAAAGAAGATGAAGATGTTCGACTATCATTGAAAATGGGTTCAAAAGGTGAAGAATATGCGTTTTTTTAATTTTATAATGTTTTGGTTTCAAAATCCTAATGCTGTCAGCAACCTTGTACACATTCATACAGTAGGCAATGCGTCACACTTATTGTATGAGAGATAATGATACAATGTGAGCGCCCAAATCTTGATAGGTGGAGCAGGGTTCGGATCTGTGATTCATTGGTTAAAAAGATGATTTTTTCTTCAAGTTAGTATTCATCATGGACTGACATTAGTTGGGGGAACATTGGAAACCCGCCAGCACTAGATAGCTGTTTCGTCCTAGTATGAAACTCTTCAGCACTACGCACTCACGACCCCGTCAGGGATCAAACCTGCTACCTTCAGGTTCTGTGGCTACCGAATTACCACTGAGCCAGTGGGTCGGAATCCAGTGGTTCATATTTCCAACTTCTGTCAGTTCACGACATTGTGCGACCATCAACCAATATCATCTTTGAGTATTTGCTCTCAACGATGACATTGGATGACGGTCGAGCTATGTCTTGAACTGACAGAAGTTGGAAATATGGACCACTGGACTCCGACCATGTTGCTCAATGATAACGTGGTGGCTACGGAACCTGACGGCCGCAGGTTCGATCCCTGATGGGGTCGTGAGTGCGCAGTGCTGAAGAGTCCCATATTAGGAAGAAACAGCTGCATAATGCTGGAAGGCTTCCAGTATTCCTCCAACTGATATCAGTCCATGATGAATACCAAATAGAAAAATCTCTAAATCCCCACAAACCCCTAAATTCAATTGAAAGATGATTACCTAAATCAGTGAGTCATAACTCATAGGGTTATAAAATAGTTCCTTTGAACAGGTGAAGATAAAAACCAAGTAAAGAAGGAATAATGCCCGATTTTATTCCGTTCAGGTTTAATGAATCAGATAAACTAGTATGCTAGTGGCAGTGTTTAGTGTCATCTGCTCTGTTAAGTGTTTTGGAGACATCAGTCACAGTTACCGAATGAAGAGTAGTTAGATTTCTTGTAGAATGCTGTGTAAACAAGGTTTATCAACTGCTGATACTAATAATCTACTTTTACAAATATGTCGGGCACTTGAAGTTAACGTGATTATTTATTCTTGCGTTCACAAAATTCGCTTACTAATCAGAAATAGACAAAATCATATTGGTTACTTTTTAATGATCAATCAATGTGTGTTTTCGAGTTAAACAGGTTACTCACTATCCAATTACGTCTCTTGATATCTCTCGATGTGACATTCAGTGACACAAGTTGACATCTCTATGGAAGGTGTATGTGGGAAACCAATTTCTTCCGAGATAAAGAATTGTCTTACTAAAGAGTGTGAACAACTACAAAAAATAGGTCGATTACTTCTTGTCAACTGCCTCCAACGACCTAGTAGTATTGTATTCTTGATTCGAATCCTAAATGTAGCAGAATTTGTGATTAACATTGTTAACGCTAGGTTAATCACCTTCATTCTACAACTTACACCAAATTTTTGATAATATTTTACATCGATTCATGCGTATACTACCTTTTAATGTATGTTTGAAATTTGTGGCAGTATAAGTTACTCGAACGATGCTGTCTAGAATTTGAAGTGTAATTGTAGACTTACTTAGTCAACTTTTTCGATGACAATAACAACTACATTTCCAATCATCAAAATACTAAAAATTTGTTACTATCCTAGTGAAGCAGTATCAATACTTTCTCCTTGACTAGTGTTGAATGCTTACTGGTTTAAAAAGCAATAAAATTTGAAATAGTTTGAGAAAATCTTAATGAAAATGTTTACAAAACCAAGTGACTTTTAAGATTATACACATAATTCTCATTGTGACATTAAAAACAAGATATTCAGTGAATAGGATTCTTTTCAACATTCTTAAAAGCAGAGTTGTATCTATTAGACGTAACCTTTATCAACCTCGTTCAACATCTAGCTACATGAGGATGCTACATACCAAGTGATTGACAATGGAAAGCTCAGCGATGCCCTTGAACTGTAGACAGGAAGGAGTAAGACAAGGTTGCCGCTTCTTGATTGTGGTCGATTAAACTAGAGTGGACTAGATCATGAGGAGCGAGAGGAGGGGCATACGCTGGTTGCACCGATGAAAGGACTCTGGAAGATTTGGATTTCGCCGACAATGATGGTTTATGTCTAATTTCTTGTCGCACAAACTAGTAGATCTACAGGCAAAAACCAACAAATTGACAGAAAAGGCGAGGCAGTGAATGAAGATGGGACCTCCTTCAGGTGAACATAGAGAAGACGGAGGTGATGAAGATACCCAACCAACAACAGCATCAACAACAAGTACCAATCACCATCAACGGGAGAGAGTTAAAGGAAGTTATCTCTTTCACCTACCTAGGCAAGCAGCATTGTTTCAACTACAGGTGGCGCCGCAGACGAGGATGTCAAAGCCAGGATCGGAAAAATAAGATGGGCTTTCATTAATGTGAAATCATTGTGAAGATCTACTGTACTACACTGCACTCCACCGCACTCAGTATAAAGTGTGAAAGAGATTCAGATTTTCAACACTAATGTCAGTCAAGTCACTGCTTCCATGTGGTGGTTGAGAGACTTGACGGGTTACGAAAGACATTCTCAACGAACTACGGACATGCATCATATCAACAGCTGCCACCGACGCTCACTGAGTGCTGAAGATGAGATGGCCAGAATAATAAGAACAAGCAACAAGGAACTGTGGCTGGCTGGCAATGAACTAACGAAGCAAGAACCCATGGCCCAACAGGTATGCCGAAGAAAATGGAGATAGATTGGTTTGGATTGGATTGGACATACACTGAGAAGACGGTTCGGGAACATCACGCATCAGGCTAGACCAGACCGTCGAGTCGAAACGAAATGGGAAACGAGGAGTTGGGGATCCGATGAGAGGGTGACATGGAGGAGATGGTGTGATGAAGAACTGAATGGTTGTGAGGAGTGGTGGAGCCAGATTAAAAAGACTGGAGAGAAGAGAGTGGAATAGCAACGTGATACTGAACCCGTATGTTCAACTAGGAACCGGAGAGACAAACAATAATAATCTGTTAGATAAGCTAGCATAGAACTTCTCATTAATTCGATCTCACCCTTTGCAAACCATGCTGGTAGATATTCTCGGATCCTGAAGCGGATGTGTTGGACAAAACTCCCTGTATCACTTGTTCCACAGGGGCAGTTGAATTGGTATATGCATGATGATGAGCTGAAATTAAGTAAGACTTCCTGAAGTCTCCGTTTGAACAATGGTTGGCTATTAAAGGATAGGCGCAGACATCATGAATAAGAAGTTCTATTTAACGCTCTGGATAGACGTGATAAAACTTCACTCAGAGTATTTAAGCTAAATTGTAGCCGCAGAAACAAAGGTTTTTTCTGCACGCTTGTCAATTAGTACCTTTTGAGTACTATAAGCGATGTCTGCTTTTATAAGCTTTTCAGGATATACATTTTCTCTTGAAATATCCTGAATGACTCGTAATTCTTTCTCAACACATTCCTCAGAGTAGATCGATCTTACTGTAAACGCTTTGGTAATGTAATTGGATTGGAAATGTGCTTCGATCGTCTTCCTATATACACTTCATTTCAAGGAACCGTTTTCTTTCCTTGTCAGTAGGATATCAAAGAAACGAAGAGAATCATTTGTAAAATGAACTCCTGGATGGGCTTTATTAAAGTGGTTGAGGACTAAATCAATAGAATTGTGTTTAGTATAGACTAGTAATGTATCATCCATTTGCGGAAAATACAAATCTGTGTTGGCTATGTCATTCTTAAATGGTATGCTTTCTAATTTAGATAAAAATATACCAGGGCACCATTTGTTTGTTTGTACATTTTACTGTTGAACAAGAATTGAACATTCATTGTCCAGGTGATTAGTAACTCCCTTAAATTTTCAACCTAATGAGAAGTTATTGAAAAGAATATTCTTCGTTCATATCTGACTTTTAATATGAATAAGTTAATTGGAATAATTTCATACAATTTTTTCCCTTCACGAATTTAAATAGAGAAAGTATAAAGCTTTAACAGAATAGAACTGATGTTAAAATTGCTTCAGATTGTAATCAGCTGATCAGAAACTACGAAATAGAATGGATCCATGCTAATCTGTTACAGCTGTTGTGCTTGCTCTGTTGAAATACACTTGAAATAAATTGAATATTTCTTGTTAAAAGCTTAAACTATTAGAAGATCAAGTGAAATAACATCGCAAAAATTCGATATAAAAATATGATAACAAAGGAGAAAGTTGAAAAAACAAAGGGGAACGAAGCACACAAAGTAAGTTAAGGCCAAGGTAGAGAATATAGACTATACTGTACACACTTCTTGTGCACACAAAAGTCAGACAGACTTCAGTTCATGGGTAACCATAGCCTCTGCTGTTTTCAGAAGTTGAACATTGAGGAAATGAGGTGTTTCGTCGAATTAGATAGACAGTCTCAAATCATTGTTTGGGTCGGTTAAATAGTTGGAATCGACTAAATATTCGAGGATAGAAGTTCTGATGTATTTCCTTTTGTTCTTATAAAACTAGATGGGAAAATGTTCTGGTATGCATGTTGACAGAAGTCTATGACTACAGCCTATGTACCTTGCGCCACAAAAGCAGGTGAACATGGAGGTGGTCTGTTGAGGGATATTGTCTTTTACACAATCGGAGAACAATTTACTACTGGTAAAAATCAAATGAAATTTGTCTGAGAACAAAAAGTCCTAATAATTGTGTGGAGAGACGGTTTTTCAGGATATCTGATACTACATTACCTTAAAACCACAGATTATGAAAAAGTGGTTTCAAAAAGTGATCTGATGACTGGTTTCGTATGTCTTTCTCGCATATTCTTATCAACAGATCGGCCAGGATAGGCGTTTTCCGAAAGCGCTCCTCTTAGAAAGTCAAGTTCAACTTGTACACAATTTGTGCTACAAATATACATATTCGATAGCAGAGTGACTGAATGAGGTTTCTTGATGATCGG